CCTCTTGCCAAACCATCTTTCCCTACAGAGGAGCAAAGGTAGTAGCAAATATCAGAAAAATAAAACAAAGACAAGAGGCTACACACCTGAAACCCCTCGCCATGAAGACCCCTCTCTCCTTACAACTGTATTTTTTTAAGGATCCTAGAATCAAACAATGCAAATATCCCTTATGCACAACTGTCTTACAATATAGATTTTAGAAGAAAAGGCTCAGCAAGGGAAAATTGGCAGGAAAAATTTAAATTGAAGTATAAAGAAAAAAAAATATACTTCAGTCCTTCACACATAATTGAACTGTCTATCCCCTACTACACAGAGAGAAATAACTGGCAATGTAATTTTGCTTATCTGTGCAAATTAAGTTTGCTGTCATTAAGTTTCACAATCCCCATAAGCAACCATGCAGTCTGTCTGGAGGGGTGCTGTTACCACAATGTAATTTTGAAATCCCCTTAAGCATAAAAAACCTTGCATGCCTCCCTCTAAACAATAAATTATGATCACAGCAATTGCAGGCATGTGATATCTTTCTGGTATACTATTGTACTCAAAAAAGACTACTAGTAATAATAATTGATTAGCAAGATTATTGTTTTGGTTATGATATTGTCCTTCTTGGCTGTAGCCCCTCTTAATATCTCCACCTCTCTTGGGGCACCACCTCCCAAAGCAAACGGCCTATTCTCTGTCACATTTTTTCTATTTTATGTGTTTCTTACCCAATAAAATACAGTTTTAGAGATCCAGTAGAAAGTGCTGTGAGAAAAAGGGTAGTTCTTTAGGATGTTTTACTGCCCTTTCCTAACAGTACCACCTGTTCTTTAAGAACTCCTCTTTCATCAACCATTTAAAAAATTTGATATCTAATATTCTCTTAACAAAAGCTCACGCTCTAACATTGAATAACTCTAATATTTCTTTACTCTACGTTCCTTGTAATTCTCTCACGTGCACTAAAAGAAAGATCCTGGATCAGCAAACCTAGCTACTAACCTTAACTATGCGACCGACGACATAAAACGACGACGACGACGACGATGACGACGACGATGATGATGATGATGATGATGATAATTGATAAAAACAATTAGGTCGAGTTGAGGAATAAACTGAAAATAGGCCGTTCCCGTATACAAATCTAGAAAGTATCCAAGGCATACACAAGGAAACGAAGTCGAGACTTCGCAAGGGACAATTTTACTAAATACCATTTTCTGTCATAAATATGACTAATAATACCTTCGTGTGTTGCAATCTCGTGGATGTCTTGATCCGCTAACTTTCTGCATGAAATTGAAGTTTTTGTGAATTCAACACAACGCGTTGCATTGAAGCAGTTGACTTCTGCTCTCAAAAGATGATTATTGCTGGAAGAACTAATGCTTGCAACAAGCGTCCATCCTCCACCTAATGTTTCAAATTACATAAAAGGATTAGGTTCGTTATGAGTTCCTCAGTTTGGTGTATTACAAGGGACTTACCAGAAGGTTTGAGCATTTTTTGGCCGAATTTATGCTAGAGACGAATTTTTCGTCTGGGGGCGCAAAGACGGGTAATTCGTCTACATATAAATCTGGTGTTCAGAAGAGTTTTGAGCCAAAGTTCGTCTCCTGTTTATTCGTCTGTCAGCTTGTCTTTAGACGTACTAACAGACGGATAATTCGTCGCTCACGTCTGAGACGGTTAATCTGTCTCTAAATTTATATCTGGACAGAAATGAAGACGGATTTCTGATCAGTTTTGACTTGAGGAGACTGGCGTCTGTTATTTACCTTCCTCGAAAACAAAACGCATGCGCATTTGTTCATATTTTTATGCCAATTTGCGCAATATAAATTATAAATGTTATTAAAAAGCCCTCCAAATTCTTTCAGTCTGACGGATTATCCATGTACGTCTAGTCCGTCTCTAGTATATAGTCGGTCAATGATATCCACTGCATAACTGTTTTGATTCATATTTTATTTTATGTTGCGAAAGTGGATTACCATCTTGAGTCTCAAGTAAACAAGTGCAAACTCTGAAAATAAAACAATTACGGGCTTGAGAATCGTAAACGAACGCAGTGACGCTTCACGTTTTCTCGAATTGAGGCTTAATTAAATAGTTGGCACTTCATTAACTACAGTAGTTCCTCAGTTGTTATCACATGGAACAGTAGGGGCACGGGATTACAAAGGCAGGCTTTTGCATCACCACAGCATTTTCTGTAATTTACCACATGTAAGGGAATCCAAGACAATTTTGGATTGGATCCCACTTCCTGGATTCCGAATTTTTTTGCCAGTGAAACTTGGATTCCGCATTCCGAATTCCCTCCGGACTGAAAACCTCAAGATTCCGGATTTCAAAAGCAAGGTTTTCGAAATTCCGGATTCCACAAGCAAAAATTTCTCGAATTCCGGAGACCTGATTTCCTAATTACATGGGGCGATTCTACAATTCTTTAAATGCGGAGGGTGGCACTAGTAAATTCGACAGGGCTGGTAGATGAATGCAACTGTTAAATAATCCAAAGACATTCCAGCGACCTACCATAATTGTCCATGTCGCAGTAAACCTCCGTCTTTTTGCCTTTAATGTGAACCCAGTAGTAGGCAGATTTAGCATCCGGGACTAACTGCTGAATTTGGGCACATGACTTCTGAAACACAAACAAACAAGCAAAAAACTTTTAACCGAATTCCTGATTGCGTCGAGGAAGGAAAGCAATTTGATGAAGGTTTATGTGTTGCCATTAAATTGTTGAATACTTTTTGTTCTTCCCTTGAATAGGGTTTCACTTTTCGGGTCTGGGCCTTAAATTAATGGTATCAGTTTTCGTTTGTCTCATACTTAATTATATAATCAGGGCTTAAGACCCTGATCGGCGGCACACACCTACCAACATTTATCGGAGTACCCACCCCGGGCTCCCGGTCCAACTCACATTTTAACCCGCAAGATGGTCACAAAACTGACATCTTAGTAATGGATTTTAATAATAAGCGTTCGACAAGGTTTGTCACCGGCACCTCATCACAAAGCTAATGAGAAACGGTAAAGATGGAAAGAACATTTGATGGAAAAAGTCATTCCTTCCCGACAAGAAGTAACGTGTTTTGCTAAATGGAGTGTCTTCAGACGATGTAGAAGTGCTCCCTGATGTATCGCAGGGCTCAATTTTAGGCCCGTGACTGTTACATCTTGACTTAAATGGCCTTCCTGAGTCACTATCTTCTAACGTTAGACTATTTGCAGATGACACCATTGCATATCTCACAATTAACTCCTAGCTAGATTCATGCATTCTTGAAAATGATCTTGAAAAGCTAGCTCAATTGGACCAAATGTGGGACATGAAATTCCACCCGGATAAATGCGAAATCCTTCGAGCTGGCCGGAAACGTCAGCCTATACTGCATGACTATATCCTGCATGGTCTAATCCTACAATTAGTCAACACTTCAAGGTATCTAGGCGTTACTCTTTCATCAGCCCTTAGCTGGAACTGTCATATTGATAACATTACAGGGGAAGCAAATAGCACTCTTGCTTTCCTTGGACGAAATCTGCAGATGATTTCTCCTAACATCAAGATCTTAGCTTACTTTGGCCTAGTTCGACCACTATTGGAATATGCAGCTTAGGTCTGGGATTCTTACACGGATAAAAATATCAGAAAAACTGAAATAGTTCAGCGGCGAGCTACCCGCTTTGTAGTCTGGAATTACAATCGTACAGCTAAAGTAGGAGTAATACTTGACCAGCCGGGACGGAAATCATTAAAAAGCATTGTTGACAAACTAGAGAGTGATACCGATCTTTCGAGGCAGGATCTTGCATCTGTCATGGCCAGCAGACGGGAATTGGACAGACTTATAAAATCAGTGCGGGTGTGCCCGAAATGGATAGATAAATCACAAGTACTCTGTTTCCCACGCACAATAAGGGAATGGAACTCGTTACCTGAAGATATTTCCTGCCAAACTTGGAGTCTTTCAAAAAAATCACTAGGTGGATGATCGCAACGTTCGTGTGTTTTGATTAATTAGTTTATTAATTTATATTTGTTTATTTGCTCGTTTGTAAGTATTTTGCATATTTGTTAGAGGATTATTAATTAATTAATTAATTTATTTACTTTTACGGAGAACCTTCACAAGAATCTTCATTTTCGAAGGAGGTGGGGTTTCTTGGAAGAAGAAGAAGAAGAAGAAGAAGAAGAAGAAGAAGAAGAAGAAGAAGCAGAAGCAGAAGAAGAAGAAGAAGAAGAAGAAGAAGAAGAAGAAGAAGAAGAAGAAGAAGAAGAAGAAGAAGAAGAAGAAGAAGAAGTAGATTCCATTAGTTATACTTTTGCAATTCTCTCATTCTGATTGGCTAAAAGTATAGTCGTATACTATTAGATAATTATTATTTAAAGCCTGTTGTTAAAGGAGGCAGTGCAACCAAAAAAAAAAAATCTTTTCGCATTAACTATTCAACCTGAAACTAAATCAGACTTAATTTAGAATCAGAAAAACGTTTTATCGCATACAATTATTATTCGTGCTCTAGTCGTCCAATTTAACAACAAAATTGTCATGTTTAAATAATTTCCAAAAATTATACTTTCTTGCAACTCACCAGTTGGATTTTTGGCCATGGATTATCCAAGTACACATATTCTTTGGCAGGAAACAATTTTTGGGGAGCAACATGGACATCAACTTTGTTTAACTCGCAGAGAAAATCAACCCAATTGAAGTTTATACTTCGACACTGTGTTTGCTGGTCGCAGATATCGATGCAGTCTCTTGTGCTGTCTGTCTTTTGTACCTTAAAAGCCTGTCCCAGTAACCGGGTGTTTGGTAACGAGGACGTTCCATTGCATCTTCTTGGTTCCTCGCAGCTCAGAACGGAGCGAATGAAAATGACAAATACAGCAGTCGTAAACATTTTATTCAAAACTGCCGACGAACTTGAAACGTAGCCAGATTTTGACCTTACTAAATATTTTATGAATTAATTAGCTTACATTCAGATGTTATGGTTCAGTTCTCATGAAATATTCCATTAAAAACACTGTTTTAGGATTTTGCATGGCTGCAAATGACATTCCATTGTTCTAGTGTTTGCAGTTAGTAAGACGTAGAAGTAGAAAATGTGTAATGAAAGTTATTTTCTCCATTTATTTTTGCAAAAATTATTTTGATGATAGTGACTAATAATTGCCCTTGAGGTTTACAGTCTTTGACGCCAATACGAATGTTTTCTCACTTTTTGTACAATGTGAAATATAAAACTTAGCATATTTTCGTCACTGGCCTCCTGTTCTCAATAAACATTCCAACGGAAAATGTTAATGGTCATGATTGCTGATGCAGACTGTGGCGTCGTCTTCTTGACTTTATAGGTTTCATAGTTTTGCCAGCCCAATTAAAATAGCCTTTATCCTTGACTTCGCTAGAGTTATTACCAGCAGAGAGAAAATTAAGCACAATACAAGGTTGTTGAAATAGGATGGGACTTGCTTTTCTTTTTCACTTTAAAAATTGATAATTTTGCCAACGCCATAAAGAGCCTTTATTTTGGACTTTTCTATAATCATTCTCAACCTCTTCCAGGGTTCTCTCACTTCTTTCCTCGAGAAAGAACCCTGGTTGCAACTGGTCATGTGACTCTCTGGGACAATAAAGTGCTTATTCATCGGTGTAGGGTTAATGTATTATCTTTGTTTTGCTAAAACAGGAATTTGTTCATCGTGCAAATGAGCTCAAACTGAATTCAGGCACCAGAGAGACATTTTTTTCTGAAGATGATATTAGAATATGGCGCCAAATCGGCCGGTGTTGAGCCGAACTACATCATAGGACTGTAAAGGAAGCCGATTGCATCTTTCAATTTCTCTGGACTGTCATATTGACGTAGAATCTGCAGCATTCTTCCCTTGTCAAAAGTAGGTTGAGTTTGATCGTCCGGGTGAACGTAGTCCTGAATAGGACTGTACATGTTGTTGTTGACACCAGATCTAGAGGTGCCTCTGATGTACACTCACACCAACTCTGGCCCTGTTACGACAGCGACTCTACCGTACATCAGAGGGTACCTCTGAAACTATTGCACGCATATTACAACCTTACAATATACGTGTTGTACACAAACCGATAACCACTTTACGGCGACTGCTTACTAATGTCAAGGACAAAGGCAAACCGGAGGACAGACAAGATCAAATGCTGCGACTGCCATTCTTCTTACATTGGTGAAACCGGCAGAAACCTAAGCACGGAATGACCAAACACAAACGAGCGACGAGGAATGGTAATATCAACAATTACATTACTGAGCAACATTTACAGACAAAACATCAAATTTACTGGGACTCTGCGACATGTATAACGTATTCTACAGACTACTATCAACTTAGAACAAACGCCACTGAATCGTAGCCAACAGTTACCAGCGCTGTAAAAACGTCTTACTGACGAGATCAAGCAAAACTAACTACGAGAGAACGACTGGAGAACTGACAATTTGACTAACAATAGAGGACTCTTTAACTGTAACAATAGACGGATCGAAACGCACCAATTACTGATTACGAGTCTTCATAGCCAATAACATCAAGGCTTAACTGACAGATGACCAATAACATCGCGACATAATTGACCAATCAGATCAATAACCAGAGTATAATACCATCAACTAACGTGATGCAACTCTCTTTGACTCTGAAGATGACTACCGCACAGGTTGTCGACCCGTCAGTCACTGTCAACAACAACAGTCCTATTCAGGACTACGCTCACCTGCACGATCAAACTCAACCTACTTTTGACAGGGGGAAGAATGCTGCAGATTTTGAAATGACTTCTGGGTTCAAACCTTTCACAATTCTTTCCCTGTGTGCACTGTCAAGCGCCTTGTTTTTGAAGTCTATGAATACCAGAACAGCTTTCAGGTAATGACTTTTCACAAAAAAACGACTGCTGGCAGGTCTTCTCAAGAAGCCGTAATGACCAGCCATTGTTCGTAAATAAATATAAAGTAGGATGACGGTCGTCTTCGCTAAAAAAACAAGTTTTCTGGATTTCGCCAAGCAAAACATAAACATCTTTTCAGAGAATCCAAACCATCCTTCACTTCTTACGAACAAGTCATTATTTTAACCTAGGTTGACTTTAAGACTCGTTTACCTTTGTTTCTGCTTAGTTTTCATTGATCGTTAACGACTAAATAAGCAAATTTTCTTTCTCAGTTTTACCGAAATAATTTTCTTTCAAACTAGACGATTGTAACGTTTTACTAACTAGCCAATAGAAACGTTTGTTTTTCTGTGTCACGCGTTAAGAGAATTTGCAGTTAATCAAAAAGCAAGCATTTTGGTCCGCTGTGAATTTGCTCATGATTTTAGCTGTGCGTATATCGAGTTATGGATGCACTTGGGAAGTTTGGAGAACACTCAAGAAGCTTTTGTGCTCTGCAAGCTTCCCGCGTGCATCCATAACTCGATAAACGCATGCTAAGCGTGAACGAATTCTTAACTTTCACTTTGACCAAAAAACACCGTGTTAAGCATCCGAAATTTTCCTGAATTACTGTCTGCTTTTGAAAGTCGAGGAAGGTTGGGGAGAGTAGAGAGTTAATAATCAATAGGGTGACCATAAGAAAACACGCGGGCGCACCACATTTTACTTTAAATAGCTAATAATAATAATAATAATAATAATAATAATAGTAATAATATTAATATCAATAATTCCAGGTCTTTAAACGTAATATGGGGAAAATATGGACATGAAAATATCATCCTGTCACTGACATTCTAATCAATTTAGTAACAACTTGTTCCAGTTATTGTTTCAGCTCGAAACCCTGGAAAGAAGGACGACAATTCCAAAGCACTTGTATTAGAGAGTTAGGATGACGATGTACTGATAAAAGCCATTGATTAAGCCTTTCCTATCTGGTGGATGCCACTTTAATTTTATTTAACAAACAGAAGTCCTGCTTTGTTCTGGTATATTCCAAGACTATTACAAGGGTATCCATAGAGCAGTCGCTTTGAATCTGAAATATAGAACACGATTTTAACACTTAATACTTACGTTAAAAGAACTCTTTTTCAGGAGTAAAAATGACCCCAAATTTGGGGTTAAATTAGGAGTTAAAGTAACCCCATAAAACTGGGGTTATCCTGTACCTAAAATTTTTACTCCAGTTTTGGAGTTATAATAACTCCCTAAAAATTACTGTGCGGTTACCAAGTATCAAAAGTGTCATAAATGTCTGTAAAGACGCAGAAGTTTAGTGTGTATAAGCCTTTTTCAGTCGTGTAGATAGATATTGTTCTAAGCACGGATGCACAGATAGATATTGTCTGAGCGATGGGAGCTTCGTACCTAAACATTCATGAGATAGCCACACCCAATAAACGGTTTTTGGGAGAAAATGGGGGAAGGTCGGTTGCGATGGTTGCGAGATTTAAAGTTTTCAGTTGCTCTGTTCGATCACTTTTGGCAAAAATGCCAGTTCGTTTACTGTTAATGCAAAAGAACAGTGCCAAAATAAGCAAACTATTCTATTGCAACGCATATTACCAAGATGAAAAATATTATATTCGGATTCAGCATTTCAATGAGTCGAGACGGTTACACGGCAAAAGCTTACAAAATACAGTGGGGGATGGCAATGGTTGAGTAACTGAGTCTTGATCGGATGGTATCATCAGCTGTTCTTCGAGTCAGATTTAGACTGTCCCGATACGGAAACGACCAACATCAATTTGTACCACGTGACCAAGAACGTTTCCCTTACTTGCCTTTTGCTGTTCATTACGTCCACAAAAAAAATGTATAGTTTCACGCCAATTTCATCCATAAGAATTTGTCTTGCACAGTTTTTATCGGCTTATTTCCCATTTTGAAAACGCGAAATTTTCAACTTGAATCTGACGATTGCTGTTTGCCGAAAACATGATTCAAGTTCTTGATTTCGATTTTAATGATGATATATAATATGACTGCGAGATGCTGTCGTTATGTAAGCCCACAAATGATCTGCTCATTACTAGAGTTTTCAGTAGCTCAGTGGTTAGTGTGTGGAAGGTCGTGGGTTAGGGTTAAAGTTAGGGTTAGGGTTAGCTCGTTCTCTCTAAACAAAACCATCTACTTACTATTTTAAAGAGTGGGCCTATTTATACGTGTATGATTTATGAAACCATATCAAAACCGACTAATACTTATAAATACTTGGTATTCCCCGTTTACCCGAAATTTCAAGAATTGTTAACTGAAACTTACAGAAACTCGATGAACGCCAAGTTGCTCCACATTCTGCATTGTCTTTCGAGTCGAAAACTAAGTGGGAAAAAAGCATTTAAGTCAACAAAGGATTGACGATAAAAAAAACACTCGAAACAAGAAACTTTAAGGAAAGGGAAATATACTCTGATACTGAATATATCTTGGTCATTCCACTCAAATTAGGTTCAGGAAAAATATAGATAAGGCATGAAATTCAAATTTAATTTAGCTGTTTTAATTTAGTTTTAATGGAATTCCATGAATTTTTTAACACTAAACAAATGCAAATTTATAGATCATGTAGTGGCGAAAAGATGCACAAAATGTTAGACAAAAGTTGATATTAAACAGCTTAACTCTTGGAATTATTAAGAGCAAATCTACCCAGCTTTTTTTTAAATAGAGACTTAAGCAACCTCCTTGACAAGATCTGGTAAAGAAGAGTGTTTCACTCATGAAATTGAAATTTATTTGTTAAACCATTATACATTACGAAACAGTAAATAGTTTGAGCCCTTGATTCATTTCAAATTAGTAGGTGAGTGTAGACCTGAATACGACTGTTGTTGACAGTGCCTGACGTTTCCACAACCTGTGCTGTAGTCATCTTCAGTGTCCAAGTGAGTTGTATCACGTCTGTCAATTGATGCTATTATTAAACTCTGGTTATAGAGAAGTGTGACGTCACAAAAATTCAAATTTGTAAAATTATGGGATTGGTGTGGGGAATGGTTAGCATATTCAGAAAGAACACTGAAGATGCGGAAAAGCCTCTATGCCAAAAATCAGCCTGCTAGTGCAAATTGGTGAGGAGACATAAGCACCGGTTTGCTCTGTTGACTCCATACAAACTCTTCTAATATTGGATTGGATCGTATCCTGAACGTAAACGATTCAGGCCTGTTTTAGAAGGATTTATATGGAGTCATCGTAGCACAAATTTGCTTATACCTCCTCACCAATTTCACAAATTTAGTTTTCCTGGCGTCATCTCTTCTCTTCTCTGTGAACCTGATAGACCTATTCGGCTAACTCAATGTTATACCCGGGGTTAAGGTTCTTTGTGTATCATTATAATGTGGCATTCACATTTAAATGATATCGAAATTCCTGAAACAAAACGTTTTATTCCTAAAGGGTTTGAATTGGTTACAACATTGAGTAAGCCAAACAGGCCTGTTAGTCAGTTAAGCCCAACCCAATCCCTAGACGTTCTCTCTTGCCCCGTTGTCCGCGTGAAGTCTGGAAACAGCCAGTTTTGACCGAGCCGAGGACGCCTAGGGACAACGCTGAGCTAAGCCGTAATTTTATGGGCTATGTAAAGAGTGTAAACGCGATTGGTGCGTTTGAATATGTATTTTGTCACAGTTATTAGGATCGTTTATTTTCAATCAAACTGTGGCTCGTCCAGTGATTTTATCGTTGTGTCAGTTTATACATTGTTAATGTGAATATGTATTGTTACCTCTGTGGCAGGAGTTGCGAATTATGAAATAACCGTTCAGTATCCCTTTGCAGCTGTTTGACTCCCACTGGTAAGGATAGATGTGAGACGTTATGATGCGTGGGCAGCTATATATGAAGGAAAAGCCGATATAGTTACTTGTCAGAGCAAACTATTAAGCAAATTACTGTCGGGGAGCAAGGGTGGCACAGTGGTGGCTCAGTACGGGAAACACCTCCTACCAGTATGGCCCGCGCCGATGCCGTATGTGGGTTGAATTTGTTGTCAAGTCTTCAGTTTGCTCCGAGAAGTTTCTCTCAGGGTAACCCGGGTTTTTCCGTATCCTAAAAACGTAGCAATTCCAAATTCCATTTCGACCAGAGATCAGGTAGATCATGAGAAAATACTGAAGAAAGAAATAACAACTATTCTTATGGGCTTTTTTTGGTCTGAAGTAAAACGACTGGGGAGTCGTTTATTTTTGGTTCACCTAGATTGGGTCGAATGAATTAACAGTTAATATATATTGGTCAGTTCGTTCAAAATTGTAGGAATGCTATTGTACATACCTTGTGTACACTCATGTCAAAGAAATACTAAGAAAAATTTATTATACATGTTACAGACAAGTCTGCTGACAGGCTTCAAAACTGCGCTGCACTTGAATAACTACGGTCAAACTCTGAAACCTTGCAACTGGCCCCTGATTTTTAGCTCGCCAGTTCGCTATTTTAGGGAAAACTAAACCGACAATTCGAAGGGTTAACCGTTATAAAGTTATCTACTGAAAACACTCCGCTCTGCCTTGTGTTATTAACTAATATAAACATTAACCAAAGGGAGCATTTGGTCAAAGGTTTAGCATATAATAATTGCGCCGAATTTAGCCAAAGGCTCAAAATGTCACTGGGGAAGGCTACATTGTGTTTGATGTGTAATTGTGAAAAAAATGTGGGGATTGGGAAAATATTTGAAATTAGGATATCACGGTTTTTACCTATTGATATGGCATTCAGAATTGAAATGTCTCGCACCAGCTGGAATCTGCAAAGTGAAATCTTTTTATCAAAGTAATTTTTAAGACAATTGTTGTTTATAATTTAGACTTTAAATGTCCCAGAAATTTCTTCGCCTTCCTTCCTTCCTTCCTTCCTTCCTTCCTTCGGCAAAAACGTTAAGATACATTAAGCATGCCTTCGAAACTAAGAAATAGGATTTTAACTGAAAGATGACGGATAGCACAAATTAAAATACCTTTATAACATAGAAAAGACTAAAGAGACTGAGGCTGTGTTGGTCAGGAAGTGGGGAGTGTTTATGACAGAACAGTGTTACGGTCTAAAGAAAAAGATTGAGGAAGGAAACCGCAATTGTGATCCATTATGAAAACCGAATTGAAAGCTGCTGGCTTTAACGATCAATATGGGGTTAATCTTGAAATAACTTAAAAAGTGATTGTAAAACACCCTTGAAACCTGTTCTGGGATGAATTAAGACAACACAGCAGAACCGAACACAAATGTAATGATATGTACTGTGATGTAAATAGTAACAGAACTCTTTGACACTCCCCCCAGAAAACAAGCGCCTCCGCCCCTCAAATAACAGACAGTATGAAAAAAAGAAAAACTGAAAGCCGTTCAGTTTACTTCGTCCCAACGTTAAGAGCTAGAGCGAAAAGATCAATCTTGAAATTGCTCGAAACCCAAAAATGAAAACCCCAACAGTTCCCACGAAGAGGAAGGGCTTCTTACAGCTGTCAGTATCGGGGGGGGGGGGGGCACTCTTTTCTTTATGCATATACCTGAAAAAATCCAGTGAATCCATCTGTGACTTGATCAACCCGAAAGGTGCCTGGTAATAACGTAAAATAGAAGATTTTACTATTAACAAAATTCTTTTGCGGAGGCTTAGAAAGGCATATCTATTAATTAGTTAATTTTATTAGAGGCTCAATCCGCTTGTGTTTCTTGTTTGCTATGTTATGGTTATCTAAAAAAGGAAAATGCACTCCCAAACGTTTTTGGAGGAAACTGTAAAGGATTACCGCATGCACTGTATTTTCAGCTTGCATGGCGCCTCTTAGAAGTTTAACAAGGAATGCTGCAACAAAGGCAAATAGTTTTGCTTGCCCACGATTGCAGCCACAGCAGTCGGGCCGGGGAACCTGTGGTCCCGCCTGTTCTGAAGTTTACCGATTAATGATGAAGAATTACGAAGAAGTAGAAGTGCACGTAACGTAGAAGAGGTTAATCATTTGATCATGGCAAAGGGACTAATTTAATTTAATTTCTCCAGAAAGAATTCTTACATTCAACAAAGAAAATCGTTATCTTTTAATTACAAAACTTAAAGGTACTAATTGTGAGACAGGTTAAACTAAAGAAAAAAATTTTTACACGTTTTGCGAGCATACATCTTAGAGTAAGTAATAACCGATAATCCGATTCAAGAAGAATTTTAATTTGCACTTGTTTGTGCTATCGCAGTTTTGGCCTTTAGTTTAATTTACCTTCGTGTGTTGCAATCTCGTGGATGTCATGATCCGATAATTTCCTGCATGGAACTGAAGTGTTGGTGAACTCAACGCAACGTGTTGAATTGTAGCAGTTGACTTCTGCTCTTAAAAGATGATCATTGCTGGACGAACTGATGCTTGCAACGAGTGTCCATCCTCCACCTTAATTATGAAATGATTAAGAATTAATACGTACTCATTGACTGAGTTAGGTCGGGCCCGACGGGAAACTATACTTGGTTCGAGTTCAGTTCTTACGGACCGAGCACAGCGAGTTCCGTGCGTCCTGACTGAGAGCAATTTTGTTCAACAATTATAACAATGTTACTTGTAGATCAATTATCTCACAGAATTATCATAATAATTAGAAGGGGTAACAGAAGCTGGGGTATTATTTAACTTTCGTTTTGATGCCTCAGACTGAAAGGCTTAGTAGCGACTAATACTCCGGTGAAACCGTTAATAGAGTTGTACAAGGCGGTTCTAACTCTTGAGTCTGTTGGCTGGTGAATTCCTAAAGCTTCACCATTCAAATAAGAAAGGGTAAAGCTACCAATCTAGCCATCTTGTGGTGCTGTTATGGTACTGTATATGTTGATTTTCAGTCTGTGGATGGAATTTAAAGTGCGAACATTAACTGAAACTCCAAGCTGTAGTTTCTAAGCGATAGTCACTGAGGTATGTGTGTGGATCAACCACCGAGCATACGAAGAAGGGCTTATTTTATTCACCATTCACCCATTGCAAAAAATGTTTACAGGCTCATACTCGACTCCCACTGCACCACGTAGCTAGTAAATTTAAGAAGTACGTGAAAAGGTGAATAACAAATATTGACAACTGGTACATGATTTGACGTGATCATACCATAATTGTTCATGTCACAGTATACTTGAGCCTTCTTGCCTTTAATGTGAACCCAGTAATAGCTAGATTTAGCATCCGGGACTAATTGCTGAATCTGTGCACATGATGTCTGAAGAACAAAGAAGCAAACATCTGCATTAAAAATTGCTCGATTTTAGCTGAACTGCAAGGACCTTGACCCTCTTACTATCATTTAGGACCTGTTTACATGGAGGTGGGGGACCTCAGGTAGGTGGAGTAATCCACCTGTTCATATAATTTCTCTAGTCTTTCATATGGTCACCCCACCTATCATGTAAACGAGATGCCGAGAGATTATATGGACAGGCGGGTTACCTCACCTACGTGGGGTCCTCTACCTCCAGCATGTGAACAGGCCCTTACATGCAACTCTCTTCTTGTTAGAAACGGAAAACAACAGTTACTGTAACCTGCGATCGCGCGGTATTTTGAAGCCAGAATTTTGTGAATTCGATATATTCTTCCACACGAAAACAGAGGATTCGCTCGCCGAAACCGCATCTTTCTTAATCTGCCTTGCAGAGTGAATTTTTTTTTTTTTGAATACGATGAATTTGCGAATTCGTGCAGACTATTGAAACCAGATAATTTGAAATTCGATTAGGACATAAACTCGTTTTCAGGCTGTTTTAAAGGGGGTTATATTCGGAGCGGCATATATGAACGAAGGGGCCAATGTTATAGGTGAGTTATAACTGAGTTACAAGTGAACTATTCAAAATCGGTTTGGATACGATCTGCATTGATTACATTATGCCCTCGGGGCTAATATTTCGGAATTTTACGGTATTCACTGCTAGAGAAAATGCAGCAGCGCTTTCGTGTTAAGTACGTTAGCAAAAATTATGCATTTCAATTATTTTAGAGAATATTCTAAGAAAACAACCATCAGAATAACTTCATGAGCACCGAAAATTACCCTTAAGGAATGTTTTTATTTTACCTCTTAGTGCTCCAATTGTTTATTTAATGAAAATATTATTTCCCAGGGCATTTCAAAGAACAACTTTCCCACAACTCACCAGTTGGATTTTTGGCCACGGATTATCCAAGTACACATATCCTTTGGCAGAAATTACATCTTGGGAAGCAATATGGACATCAGCTTTGTTTAATTCACAGAGACAATTGACCCAATTGAAGTTTATGCTTCGGCACTGTGTTTGTTTGTCGCAGATATTGATGCAGCCTACCATGCTCTCAGCTTCTTTTACCAAAAACGAATGTTTCAGTAAACGCATTCTTGGTAACGAGGACGTTCCATTGCATCTTGGTTCCTCACAGCTCAGAACGAAGCGAATTAAAAGGACAAATATAGGAACTGCAAACATTCCTAAACTGCAGGCGAAGCTTAAAAATAGCCAGGTTTTAAACCCACAAATTGATCAATCCCTTTGCTTAAAATTACACGAAATTTCGATCTGCAGATTAAGGTCCATTACTCTTAAGTAATAATCCTCATAAAATATTCCATTAGCTGTCTTTTCTTCTGGGATTTGCAGGATGTAAATGTTATGAATATTGAATGAAATCACAGTAGTGATGTAAAAAAGAGAATAGAGGCAGAAAATGTGTAATGTAAATTATTGATATCGCAGTTCTTAAAGACCCTTAATTTTGCTGAGCCACTTCACGTAGCAGTTCTTTTGTTTTAGAGCTACTAGTTCCCGTTGTTAACTTTATTAAAGTTTATGGTTTCCTACCTAGCCAATCTTGTGACTAATACCCTTATAAAGTATTCCATTAAAAATAGCTCTTCTGGGACTTTAATTAAATGACTTGGCGCATCTGTTAAAGAAACCGCGCCGAAATCACCGTTCTCGTGTGAACAGAAGCCATTTTCGGTGCTTTTTCGTGTCAGGACAAGAACTGTCCTCAAAGTGTGAACATAGCCTGAAGGGGACAGCTTCCTTTCTCTTCCTTTTACCTGTAGCAACATTCACAGCAAGTCCGAGGTAAGAAAACCAGATTGCTCGTAAGTCTTATCGCAAATGCTGTCAAAAGAGAGATTTTTTTCTTCTCCATATAGTTGGTAAAAAAATTGGGAAAATTCTCCCTTATATACCTAGACTAATCTCAATGTTCAGAAGCTATTGCGTCAACTGATACGTGACTTTATGCCAGAACATTAGAGGTTGTTTTCGAGGTCCTTTTCCGGCATCATTGCACTTCAAGGGCAAGGCCGCAAGTGAAACAATTTCCAATCCATTACGGGGATTGGGGGTGTCCTGGTGTTGCCCATTGGCCACTAGCTATGAGGTTGTGTTTGAAACTGGGCCAGTGTTGAGTTGAATTACACTATGAGATGTTCTGTTTGGAACTGGAACGAGTTGAATGATATCATTCTTTATGGCCAATATATAAGATCCACCCTATTTAAGGGAATCCAAGACCGTCTTGGATTCTGGGTTCCACACCGTGGATTCCCGATTCCAGGTACTCGATTTTGGATTCTTTGCCAGAGGACCTTGGATTCAGGGTTTTAATGGTTAGAGGAATTCCGGATTTCTTGAGCTGTATTCCGGATTCCAAAGGCCAGGATTTCAGATTCCAAAAGCAAAAATTTGCTGAATTCCGGATTCCACAAGCAAAAATTGCTCGGATTCGGGAATCCGGATTCCCCTACATGTGGCGAAAAAGAACTTGAGCGTAAATGTTCCCAGAACAGTGTCTCATAGTACAAGTCAACGCGTAACCGACCAAGCTGTCTTATGCGCAACCTCATAGTGGTCCACTTTGGTCATTTTTATACTACTTGGTTTCTTGCTGGTCATGCAAGACGGACGATATGGTACATGTATGCCAGGACCACACGGACTTTTTGGTGACTGATATTCTTCAAACAGTCGCATAAACTAATAATAATTTTTATCTATGTCTTCCTTCTGTTCCAAGAAAGCTCAGCAGCCATATTTCATATCATGTTTCAGATGAGTAGTTCTACTTCGACTTAGTAATACATACTTAGTTTAAAGCTTTCGCATCGAAGATATTAAATAAAAAACAAAAAGAAAGAAATAAGTTATTATACACCGTTACATTAAGCTGCACAGCTGAGCAGAATAGCGACCATAGCCTGCATTAGAGCTTATTTTTGGGCCAGTGATAGTTTGCAGTCGTCATCCGCCTTTGAATTTGAAAGCAGAGGAAGATTGGGCGAGTAGTAATGCAATCAATAAGACAGACGTTAGCGAACCCGCAAGGGCACCACCTGTGGTCACCTTAGTCAGCCTACTTTAAACAGACAATTCCACAGCTATTTTTTTAGCGGAATATTCAGTTTGGTGTTAAGGTTGAAAGGTAATGAAGACAATGATAACTCTTAAGTCTAATGACAGCTCGCAGACATTTGTTGCTGCAGAAAATTTCCACCTTATTTTACTTTTAACGTTATGCCCAAATTCATATTAACTTAAAATGTGCTACCTCCTGAGGTGCGATTTCCATTTATCAATTATATTTTGTTTCGTCAGGCTTATGTGGGATTACGCCAAAACAGCAAGTGCTGTTGTTGTCGTGAACCTAAAATTGCCTAACGTAAAAGACCTAATAAACGCCCGGGGCGTCTATTTGATTCAAGGCAGGGGTCAAAGCGGGGGCGTTTAAAGGAGAGAGGCGTTTATTCTGGCTCTTAACAGTAACAAGTTTAACAAGACTACTATGCTTTCGGTGAAAATATCAAGAGAGTTTAAAAGATTGGGGAATTTTCACTCCATCATTTGATACGTCTAGGCCTTCTAGAGATCCATATCGCTCTTTTAAATCTCATCATCGATGTCAGAATCCTCGCTTAAGGTGTTTGTGTTACCATCATTAGTCTATCCTTACTATGAACTTGACATTGAACAAGATGACGTACGCAAATCCTTGTTAATCAAGCAAGAATCTGAATGAATTGAATGATTTTGCTCCGTTTTGCTAATTCCTAGTACTTTGGAGTAACTCTTATAGAGGGCGTTTATTAGACAGGGGCGTCGACTGCACTTTTAACAGCGTAGAGGGGGCCTTTATTAGATGAGAGGCCTTTACTTTGGGAGTGGGCTTCTATTAGGTCATTTACGGCACCTGGAGAAGATTCTTCTATAGCCAATTATCGAGACTGCTTTTCGAAAAGCACACCTACAAGTTATCAGAGTCTTGTTTTTTTGGGCCTGGCTCAGTTGATTTTAGGGAGTTTACGCAAAAGCGTTTTCAAGCGACGCACGTAAACCGGAAGTGAGGCAGTTTCTTTTTATATATCTATACATCTTGACGATGCCAAATTCGTAATGCCCAGTGTCTCTGCTCTCATAGAGTCGACTTGGACATAAATTTAGGCGAATCAACCGCCAAATATTGCAAATAGCCCTCTTCCGGTTGACGTGTGTCGCTCAGAAACGTCTTTGCTTACGTAAACTCCCTTTCAAATTAACTGTAGCCGGATAGCAAGAATACTTAATTTTATCACTCCATTATTCGTTCATAGCTTTGTCAAAGGTCTATACTCTTTTTAAGAGACTCTGTTTGATAAAACTTTGATGTTTTAACATTGTCACTGACATTTTAATCACTTAAATAGAAGCAAGTTATTCCCATCATTGTTTCACTTTGATTTCCTTAAATAGAAGCAAGTTATTCCCATCATTGTTTCACTTTGATTTCCTGAGAAGACGATTATTATAATTTTAATACTCTAGTATAATTAGATTCGGATTAAAGTCAACTCCCGTTATTGCAGACACCCTTGGGACTGCAGTTTAGTGTCCGTAGTAACGAGAGTCCGTAATAGCGGGAGTTTGTTTCAGTAAATCTCTGTAATTTTCGCCGGGATTCGGCAGCTGTCCGTATTAGCGGGATGTCCGTAATAGCAGGGTGTACGTATTAGTGGGGTGTGCGTATTAGCGGGGCGTCCGTATTAGCGGAATGTGCGTATTAGTGGGGTGTCCGTATTAGTGGTGTGTCGGTATTAGTGGGGTGTCTGTAATAGTGGGGCGTCCGTATTAGCGGAATGTGCGTATTAGTGGGGTGTCCTTATTAGCGGGGCGTCCGTAGTAGCGGAATGTACGTATTAGTGGGGTGTCGGTATTAGTGGTGTGTCGGTATTAGTGTGGCGTCCGTATTAGCGGAATGTTCGTATTTGTGGGGTGTCCTTATTATCGGAATGTACGTATTAGTGGGGTGTCCGTATTAGTGGAGTGTCCGTATTAGCGGGGTGTCCGTATTAGCGGAATGTCCTTATAAGTGGGGTGTCCGTATTAGTGGTGTGTCGTTATTACTGGGGTGTCTGTAATAGCGGGGCGTCCGTATTAGTAGGGTGTCCGTGTTAGCGGAATATGCGTATTAGTGGGGTGTCCGTATTAGCGGGGTGTCCGTATTAGCAGGATGTGCGTATTAATAAGGCGTCCGTATTAGCGGAATGTGCGTATTAGTGGGGTTTCCGTTTTAGCGGAATGTGCGTATTAGTGGGGTGTCCGTATTAGCGGGGTGTCCGTAATAGCGGGGTGTCCGTAATAGCGAGGTGTTCGCAATAGCGAGGTGTCCGTATTAGCGAGGTGTCCGTGACAGCGAAGTGTCCGCAAGGTGAGAGTTCACTATACTATGCACTGCTGAAAACCATTGGTCAAGCCTTTCTTAATTGGCGGTTGCTTGTTTAAAAAAAATGGTCTATTTATTTAACAAATAGGAGTCCTTCCTTGTTGTGGTATATTCCAAGACTATTACAAGGGTATCCGTAGAGCAATCGCTTTGAACCTGAAATATAGAACACGATTGTAATACTTAGCTTTGCTCTCAGTCAATGGGCTGTTATATCGTATGTTTAGAATTTTAGGTAAATTGTTTGAAGTGCACTTTGGGTTTAAGGCGTGCATTATGCTTTTGGTTTTTCGTTTTGGAGTCGCTACAGAAATTCACGCAGGAAGAAACCTTTAAAGCGGTAGTGATATGAATCTAATGGCCGCCATGAGACAAAAAAGTGGTAACAGTGGGTTCCAGGCAGCTGAAATAGAAGTGGTTAATAATAGGGATGGGCAGCAGATGATAATAATTAATAGATGCAGTACACAGCTAGGGAGGCCTCATAGATTGAAAGAATGCATTTATTGCCTCCCCATATAAGGTCTTTAGGGCAAAATTTGGGGACGGTATGTAGATCATGCATGGTTGCAAGATTTGGCATCTTTAGTGATTTGTCGTTTTTTTTACGTAGTTGGATAGATTAATGATACCTTTTTAGAGCTAGTATAGTACTTACGAATAGCTAGTATTTCTTTTACCGGAAATTTCATGAATTCACAAATTACTTACTGTAACTCGTTGATTTCCAAGTGGTTCCACATTCACCATTGTCATGCATGTCAAAAACTTATGAAAATAGGAGAATAAAATTAAAAGTGAAAAGATAAACAATGCACTTTGAAATAAGAAGGACAAGTTAAGGAAGCTGATCTCCCGGGGGGGACTCCCATATGAAAGGGGCCGGGATGCTCGAAGTCTAGCTTAAGGGTGTAAATTTCAGATTTTGGTCTCGCTTAGGGTGTTCTGGGCAAAACACGTCCATTATATTTAGCCGTAAAGGTCTCTTTTAGGGTTGCACTCGCAGAAATATTAAAAAGTTATATATTTTCAATTCGTTTTATTTACTTGATTCATGTAATCAAAGTTTAAAATGATCGCTTTTAGGGGTTAAAAAAAGGTTGGGCCACGCCCAGATTGATCTCTTTTAGGGGTTTAATTCAAAATTTCCATCGAGCATCCCCGCCCCTTTCATATGGGAAGTCCCCCTACCCCCGGGCTGATCTCCAACAATAGGCTTTTTATTCGCTAGGTCATCCTTCTCAATTTACTTTTAGAAATAAAGCAGCAAGAAGTTGAAAAGAAAATAAATTTTGCGTTTTAATTCAATTACCCTAAGTTTCTTTAAAAAATTTTCAGTTTAACGTGTCAGTGACGTAAGTTATACATATCAACGCCTTCAGGTCTGGCATTTTAGGGACAAACTAAAAGACGTCAAAAATTCGTCGAAAACTTTAGTTCGATCATTGTGGGATTTCTTATGAACCTAGTAATAATAGCAGTAGAGTATTAGTGGCAATGACAGTGGCGCGTTACCTCTGTGGCAAGAACCGCGAACTATGAAATAACCATTCCGTATTCCCCTGCAGTTTGACTCCCACTGGTATGGGTAGACGTGAGACGTTATGATGCGAGGGCAGCTATGAAGACATTGAAGGGAAAAAGCAATTGCTCTTAGAGCTAAATATAGCTGTAACTATAATTATTACCCATTCAAACTATTTCGCCGTTTCTGATTGTCTCCATTCCCCCGGCTAATTCTTCATACCCAACGGGGGCTTATCATGCCGGCAATACACCATCGATTCAATGGTATATTTGATTGGAAACGAGGTCGATCGATGGTATATTTGATTGGAAAGGACGCTTCATGGGTAATAGACCATCGATCAAAATGGCGTTAACGGCTATCTGAGTAGTGGAGGAGGGACCGGTTACTCCGGTTCTTTGCGGGGGAATTCCATTAACTTTCGGGGAAATACATTAACGTAGATGACGTCATGCATTACATTAAGATAGGATGATGTCATAGTCTATTTTCAGTAGGCAAGGAGCAAGTGACGTCAGAATTTTCTGGAGTTGACGTCATCAAAAAATGTTGAGATCATAATCTATAAACAGAAAAGTGATTTTTATATAATTAGCTTTTTGCGATAGTTTTCTTATTGGATATTGTGGAAACTGTTATGTGTTCAAAATAAAAGCGGGCAAATTTTTTGAACGTGCTATCTTTGCAGATTATACTAAATTAAAAATCTTTAATCATTAAATTATTTTCCCTAAAAATCGGTTATAAGCAAAACCAAGACGCGGAGGTTAACTGAAAAATCTTTACTTCAAAAGAAGGGAAAAAGAGGTTAAGCGAATGCGAAATCGTACTAATTTTTCAGGCAAAACATGAAAACGAGGTCGAAGCTCAGCGAAGCGAAAAACTGCCTATCAAGCAAAAATGTCAATCTTTGTTTACTTGACTCTGTGAAAAGTATTGCACAGGGTATAAAAATTCTATAGAAAACAACTGGTGGTTCTAAAGTAAACCCTAGCTCTTTTGGTTCTTAAATCAACTCCATTCTTGTTCCGAATGAGTGGAAAGTTTATTTATACAAATAGGAATAAGAGATGCGATCCCCTAGCAACACAGGTCTTCTTATTTAGCGCTAAAAATCGGATATATAACAAAACACATACACACATACAAAAAGTGGAGCTGAAAACTCTCTATTTCAATTTTGACTCACCATTACGAAAGTGTTTTCTCCGTTCCATCTCGAGGAAACGACTAACTATTGAAATCTCAGCGCTTGATGAGCTTGTGGTTTTGTCAATTTACGCGCCGTTAGCGTTAGTCAGTTAATTATGCGGGCTAACAAGCCTAAAGTTGAACACAAATTAGTTCATCTCTACAGCTAGACCCAAGGGAGCACCTTGACTTATTATTGTAAAAGCACAAACAATTGATAACTTAACAAGGATCAGTTTAAACACGCGACAAATAAATTGACAAGACACGAGATACAGTTTTTAAAACTTTATTGAAAACCAGTGACAAAAAGAGTCAAATAAACAGCGATTTGGAGGGAATGGAAATTAATCATCTTCTTCGCCCATGGAGTACTTGTAAGGTCTAACTCGAAATTTCTTATGCCGACGTTTCTTCAGCTGTTTGCCATGAGATTTATGATCATCCAAATAATTTAGAAATTGAATCCGACGCCTCTTGCGCTTCGGGCCTTGTGGTGATGGGGTTTCTACTGTGGGAGGAGGGGTCAGGAAAGCAGGATTTAAGGGTGGTGGAGGGGTGAGGCTTTCTTTGTCAGGTTTTTGAGAGATAGCCGCTTGTGTATATTCAGGTGTTACATTAACGGGGTTGAGGGGAGTCGAGAATGCTGTCGTTGCTGTCGAAGAATCTTGTGTCCTTGATGTTAAGTCTGGAACAGTGCTGATTATTTCTTCCGGTCGTGTTCTTGTATTTAATTGTTCTTTAAAAGCCAGGTATCTGTTTTGCAACTGAAAGTATCGTTTAGCTTTTTCATCGTCCCGAAGATCGTTTCGAGAAAGCACGTCATCCGTGTTGCTCTGTATTTCTTGCATAGCTGGAAGAAGTGGGAGCATTGCGGTGTTTAGACATCACGTGCCTTTGCATATTATCTTTTCTACTAAAGGACTTTTCGCAGACAGAACAGAGCCAACTCATATTAACTCCTCAGGAGCAAAATGGAGACTGAAAAAGAGGTAGAATGTTGCGCATTTATATAGGTTTTCAGGCCACAAAATTCTATTGTTTTCCTCCCCTAAAACCACCACTACCACCACCATCACATTTCTATTGCTTTTCCTCCTCCTCCTCCTCCTCATTTCTATTGTTTTTCCTCCTCCTCCTCATTTCTATTGTTTTTCCTCCTCCTCCTCATTTCTATTGCTTTTCCACCTCCTCCTCCTCCTCCTCCTCATTTCTATTGCTTTTCCTCCTCCTCCTCATTTCTATTGTTTTTCCTCCTCCTCCACATTTCTATTGTTTTTCCTCCTCCTCCTCATTTCTATTGCTTTTCCACCTCCTCCTCCTCCTCATTCTATTGTTTTCCCTCCACCACCACCACCGCCATCACATTTCCATTGTTTTTCTCCACGACAGTCAATAAAAGACTGCAAACTACTATCATAAGTTCAGTTTGTCGCAGTGTCTCAAGTTGTCAAGAACAATCGTGGTTTTCTTCAATTCTTAGCTGTTTGTCCAGCTCATAAGCGACAGTTTCTTTTACGGACAGCCAGTCCAAAACAATTACATGCATTAGTCCAAGTCTTATACAATATACTTAAGGAATACATTCTTATCCCCGAAGAAAATAAGCGGAACGTGTTGCCATATAAGGATGCTCTAGTAAACCTAGCAGAAACAAATGTACCTTACAAAACAAAGAAGCGAATCCTTGTACAAGAGGGTGATGGTTTTATTCAAGACCTATTGGTACCTGCTGTTACAAGCCTAGGATTTTTGATGCTATAAAAGAGGAAAGGAAACTATAAGTTACTCATTTGAAGCAACGGTCTGTCACGGGTACTCTTCAAAATGAAGAGAAAGATAGATTTGGTTAAAGAAGAACACGAGAGTGAACATGAAGAAAGTGAAAGTTCTGGTGATGAAAGCGAGGATGAAGAACCAAGAATAAAAGAAGAACCAAGAATAAAAGATGTTTTGAGTCATCTTTCCAGCGCAGTGTCGGAAAAGCGTGCTTCTGATTTGCTGCATAGTATGGCTGCCTCCAAAGATATTCTTTTCTGGACTCCCAGCGGACAATTACTTCGAAATAAACGCACTATTCCCGTCGCAAACATCGCCGAGCTAGGTGAGTATGTGTTACTCCCTCATAACAATGAGGTTACCAAGCCTCGTGCGCTAAATACGTTTCTAGAAGGACTTGCAGACAGGGGCACCCAACGACGATATAGTTCAAAACCACTTAACATAGCATTGTTGAACGAATTTTAGTATTTAAAGGGTAGATATAGGCATATTTTTATCCCCTAAAAACTTTTCATCTGTTCGGATTTCCTAGCTGAAAGTCTAGTGATCCGAAAATTATAGGGATCAAAACTTACCTTTTCGAAAATTTAAGCCAGGAAAAGGCTCCCGAAAATTCTAGGTGGCCTTTTTTAGGGTAAAAATCCGTTAAAAATGGGTAATTATACCATTTTGAAGATGTTCGAAAATCCTAGGAGAGGCAGGCAAGCAAGAAATTTTACAACAAATGTTCCGAAAATTCTAGATCTCAAATCGTCTTCCGAACAGATATTTTCCGAAAATTGCCGTTGGGTGCCCCTGTTGCAGAGTTAGGAATCGATAAAGGTTTAATCAAAAACAAAAAGTTTTTAAGTGATTTAATAGAAAAGGAAAAAGGCTACCGAAATGTAGAAAATACTTCCGATAATGAGAGTAGTAATGAGGAGAGTTCATCGGATATTGAAAATCAGGAGGAGGAGGAGGAAGTGGCTTCTGAGAATGGCGTTGAAACTGAAGGCACCCAAGAGAACGACAACGACACTGAAAACGATAGTGAGGAAGCAGAAAGTAGTAGCCCTGAAACGTCCACCACCTTTCACTCTAAAAGTCCCTGTGAACGTTGCGAAAACTCTAATGTGTATTCCACATTGATCATGAAATGTCCTAAATGCTTTTGGCACGATAACTACAAGATTTGTCCTATATGCGATCACCAGATCCCCGAGGAGAGAAAATACATCAAAGAGGGCTTTCTTCGGTGTCACGATTGTGGATTAATTACACACAAAAACGCCAAGACGTTGGAAACCAATTTTTATTCACCTTCTAAAGGGGAGAACGAAGAAGATGATTAATTTCCATCCCTTCCAAATCGCTGTTTATTTGACTCTTTTTGTCACTGGTTTTCAATAAAGTTTTTAAAACTGTATCTCGTGTCTTGTCAATTTATTTGTCGCGAGTTTAAATTGATCCCTGTTAAGTTATCAATTGTTTGTGCTTTTACAATAATAAGTCAAGGTGCTCCCTTGGGTCTAGCTGTAGAGATGAACTAATTTGTATTCAACTTTAGACTTGTTAGCCCGCATAATTAACTGACTAACGCCAACGGAGCCTAAATTGACAAAACCATAAGCTCATCAAGCGCTGAGATTTCAATAGTTAATCGTTTCCTCGAGATGGAATGGAGAAAACGCTTTTGTAATGGTGAGTCAAAATTGAAGTAGAGAGTTTTCAGTTCCACTTTTTGTATGTGTGTGTGTTTTGTTATATATCCGATATTTAGCGCTAAATAAGAAGACCTGTGTTACTAGGGGATCGCATCTCTTAGTCCCTCTTTTTTATAAATAGACTTTCCACTCATTAGGAACAAGAATGGAGTTGATTTAAGAACCAAAAGAGTTATATAGGGTTTACTTTAGAACCACCTGTTGTTTTCTATAGAATTTTGATACCCTGTGTAATACTTTCTACAGATTCAAGTAAACAACAAATGTCATTTTTGCTCGATAGGCAGTTTTTCGCTTCGCTGAGCTTCGACCTCGTTTTCATGTTTTGCCCGAAAAATTAGTACGATTTCGCATTCCCTTAACCTCCTTTTTCCTTCTTTTGAAGTAAAGATTTTTCAGTTAACGTCCGTGTCTTGATTTTGCTTATTACCGATTTTTAGTGAAAATAATTTAATGATTAAAGATTTTTCATTTAGTATAATCTGCAAAGATAACACATTCAAAATTTGCCCGCTTTTATTTTGAACACATGACAGTTTCTACAATATACAATCAGAAGACTATAACAAACAATATCTAATCAGAAGACTATAGCAAATAGCTAATTATATAAAAATCACTTTTCTGTTTAAAGATTATGATCTCAACATTTTTTGATGACGTCAACTCTAGGAAATTCTGATGTCACTTGCTCCTTGCCAGCTACAAATAAATTATGACATCATCCTATCTATATGACATGTATGACGTCAGCCAGCTAAAAATAAACTATGACATCATCCTATCTTAATGAAATGCATGATGTCATCGGCATTAATTTAAAGTATGACATCATCCTATCTTAATGAGATGTATGACGTCATCTACGTTAATGTATTCCCCCGAAAGTTAATGGAATTCCCCCGCAAAGAACCGGAGTAACCGGTCCCTCCTCCACTACTTATCTGAAGACGAAATAGCTGAATTTCTAACTAAATCTGAACGGAGAAAATCCAAAATACGCAAAACATATTACACGGTGGATGTTATCTACTTTTCGAGGAGTATCTGTTTATATACTGAAACAGCACCGAAAACTAGGCTAAGGTTTAGAAGAAGTTTACGAGGAGGTAAGTTTATTAATAACTTCAAGTTTACATGAATAACAAAAAGATCATTGAATTCGGCTTTCGTATGATGTGAAGAATATGCAGATCTTGGAGGATGTTATCCACCTCGGCCTTCAGCCTCGGTGTCCTCGACCTGCATAATTCTTCACATCCTAGTCAGTCTCATTCAATTATTACTAACTATAACTATTTCAGCAATAGAAAACGTTTTCCGTGTTTGCATAGCCTGATATAAACACGAGAGGGGTTGGAAGAATTCGAGACAGTTATGCAAACCCGAGACGAAGTCCAGGGTTTGCATAACCGTCGAGAATTCTCCCAACGCCTCGAGTGTTTATATCAGGCTATGCAAATACAGGAAAACAGTTTTCTATTGCTTTTAGAAAATAACTTTCCCGAGAAAAAAAAGCAAAACTCTTTGTATGGCACTGATTAAAAGAGAAATTCTTACCAGTCGCAAAATCATTTCCACGAAGTCTTGCACGCGTAATCAGTTCTTGTTTTGCAAAAAGATGCTTTGCAAAATAAGGATTTTTCTTGCTTATAATGTCAGCTTAAGCGAAATAAAATTGACTCACCTTCTTTCTAACGATTCTCCATGTTTCAGCCGACGAAGGAATGGGTAAATAAAGTAACCTTGTCGAGTTTTAAAATCGAAAACTTTTTCAAATTTAGCGCGGGAAAAGCCAAACAACTTGACGCCACAACCATGTTTACATACTCTCATGCAAACACTCCTCTCGGCCAATCGGAGCGCGCGTACTATCTTAGTTATTTTATAAATAACTGTAACGATGAGGGCTGTTGAATGCAGCCGAAATATAGGTTCATCGTGAAGAAACATTTGGTGTCTTCAATTGTGATGAATATATTTTTTCATGGAGACTGCCGTCTTTGTTGATGCTTGTGGCTTGATATATAACTATAACGATATAAATATATAACCATATAAGAGTACAACTATATATAACTATAATTTTTATATGGGGGAACAGTTTCAAATTTATCAGGATCTTATTACCTATAGGTGTGACATTCAGAATTAAACATCTTCGCCCCAGCTGGAATCTGTAAAATAATAATAAAAAAAGTTAAAAAAAGTAATGTCATGAAGATTTTTGTGCAGTTTTTGGCATTTAAGAGTCGAGATAGATATGGTTGACCTTAGCTGAAAAATAGTCACTAAATGGGATTTCGACTGATTATCTCATGGAGAGTAGTAATTAAAACAAATTAAAGGGGCTGTGTCAGTTCTGTTTATTAGTCGAGCTTGCTTTAGCAGCGAGACTCTTAAAATGTAAGAGTTTCTTTTTTTTTTCTTCGTGTGTGAGCACCGAAAGGGAGATCACGGTCCCAGGCGTTCTTAGCGGAGACCGTGGAAAATGGGAGACAATAATCGCGGCGTCACCGACATTCAGAGCGCCATGTATGTTTCGTGAAGAGAGCTTAGAAAAGATTAAAGCGAAAGATGTCGAGCTTATCTGGAACGGGTGGGTCCACGAATTCTATCGCTTGAAAGCGTTGATTACTTTGGAACAAGTGAATTCTTCGGTGGTGGAAGAAAAGAAGAATCTTAACAGGTGCTGTTTAAAAACGAGAAGGAGTGTATTATCAGGTTTAAAACATCGAGGCGAAGCCGAGAGTTTTTAAACCTGATAATACACGACTGCTCGTTTTATGAACGACTACAACATCTCTGATATAGATCAATTCATTCTTGCACTAATATTAAGATTTGAAGTTATTTTGGTCTAAAAAATTGAACATAAAGCTCAGCCGTGTCTTTATCAGAAGTAAACATTAATTTCTTTTGTTTTTTATTTATTTTTTTCGAATCGAGGCCCTTGAGTTATTCGTGTATTTATACACGCGTACTCAATCAATTCAGAAACAAATCGCCGAATAAAGTAAATATCCTGAGGAATACTCGAGCGTCGGTAAAGTGCGACCTGAAAAACGGTCAGCAAGGAAATCCAGTTTCGTTTAGAATTAATCACTTCCTCATTTCTTATCTTATCTCCAAGCAAGCTCGATTGAATGGAACAGTCAACGTTAGTGAAGAAACTACTAGTAAATAACAAAATTGCTGCTTCGTGTCAAACAAATATATCTCTCAAGCATTATATCAAACATTATAAACAACAAAAATGAAATTGAAAAAACAGTGAGGCTAGCAATTTTTAAAAAGCTACAATTCAAATTCGTTTCAATCTTCTTGAAAGTTTGCACCCGTGCCTTCTCTTGTATTTTTTGTGTTATTCATGCCTCAGTCTTAAACGTAAATAGTAACAGAAACCCGAAAACAAATGCACACTTTGGAAACAGAAAACCGAGCTTTTGTAGAAAGAAAAATGCCCATATAGGCACTACGGTTACTTCATCCTAAAATAAATTTAGTGCTTAAAGCAAAAAATGACTCAAAATTACTCCCAACAAGAGACAAAGCTTGTCAGCATCACATGGGTGCGCATGCGCTCAGTTCTTATGCCTTTACCTGATAAAATCCAGTGAATCCATTTGTGACTTGATCAACCCGAAAGGTACCTAGAAAGAATATCAATTAAATAGAAGATTTTGCTCTTAGCAAAATTACATGGCAGACGCTTACCCCCGTAAAGCTTATAGTTTGTAAACCTTATAGCTTACAGTTCTTTAATCTTCTTGTCTTTTAACACCTTGTAAATTCTGTTCAAAAGGCTATTTTATCCAGAACAGAGCCATTAAATTTACGAAGAATGCTAGAAAGTTAAAAACGGTAAAGGATGATCACACAAAACGGTATTTCCAGTATGCACGGCGCCCGCTAGTTGTTACTAAAACAATGTTCTAGCCAACTAAAGAAAGAGCCGGTTATTTAAATGGATTTTAGCCAGCGTTTAACAAAACCGCGTTCTAAGCCATTTTCCGTTTGCCCAAATTTTTTATCTGAACTCCATTTATCGTTAACATTTTCATTAAAGCATATAGTGTAGACTGGAATAGCACCTATTTTCTTAAAACAATTCACTAAGAAAGAAATCTGGATGTCCAATGATTTCTTAAACCATGCACGGTCTAAGTTAGACTTAGTTTCGCTTAGATAACCGACTCATAGTGTTTTGCTTTCCCAAGATCTCAGCCCGGGCAGTGGAGGAAGCTTTTTGTCCCGCCTAATCGACCGATGATGATGATGATGATGATGATAGTGATGACGATGACGATGACGATGATGCCATTAACAATGACGACCATCATGTTAATGATGATCATGGCTATATTATGAGGAAGAGGATTATCTTTTAGTCTTTACAACTTTTTCAGAGATTTTTATTATTATTATTATTATTATTATTATTATTATTATTATTATTAAAAAGCTGAGTGCAGACTTATGCACTTATTTTTCTATCCCACTAGTTTCTATTCCTTATACCTTCGTCTGCTGCGATCTCGTGGATGTCCTCATCCGATAATTTCCTGCATGGAGTTGAGGTGTTGATGAACTCAACGCAACGTGTTGAATTGAAGCAGTTGACTTCTGCTCTCAAAAGATGGTCATTACTGGAAGAACTGATACTTGCAACAAGCGTCCATCCTCCACCTAATAGTTCAAGTGATTAAAAAAGATCCCGGAAGAGTCCCTCTAATTTGCCGTGATCTGGATGTTACATTTTACGGGCTTCTGGGTTGGGGGCAAGAGCGATTTTCTTTTGAACTTGAAATGATTGCACATGAACAAAATTAAGTCAATTACGACGTCAACAACAAATAGAGAAGAATATAAGGATTTGATTGGTTTAGCAAACAGACTCAAATTAAAAATGAGCGTGGTTTATGGTTGCTTTAGCGAACACGCCAGACATTCCCAACTGAAAAAGGATTCCTGAAAAGGAATTTATCCAACTAGTGAAAAACAGCAATGTTTGCTTGTTTTTCTATGTACCTTATGTAATACAATATAGCGGAACATTTACAGTCACGTTTTGGCCTAACTAGTCACTTTCCCAAAAACATAGAGAATATATGCAGAACTAAACATGCTTTAAATCTCCTGAATTTAAGCCAAGAAATAACATGTACAACGGGAACTTAAAATCAATCGAGACACAGTGTTTTAGCTTGTTTTAAAACTAGGAGTGATTTTGAATGAATAATAAAACATTATTGGATGAACGTGCAAACGGATGCAACATTGTTGACCAACAACTTCCAACATTATTGGATGTTACATGTTGCGTCAGTTTGCACTCTCTGTAATTGCATGTTATTGTATGTTGTTGGGAGTTGTTGCTCTAAGTTTGAAACCGGTCAAACTTTTAGCTAAGTGCAAACGAACGCAACAATTCCCAACAATGTTGGGAGTTGTTTGCCAACAATGTTGCGTCCGTTTGCGCGGGGCTTCAGCCATTCGGCTTTTGTGCCACCCTGAAGAATTATGCAGACCTCGGAGAGTTTTAGAAGTCTGAAAACATCTTTAAATGAAGATATTATCATGTGATAACACCCTCATTGAACTCTATAATCATACTCATCTTCCTTCAATAATTACTAATTATTGGTTTATGACGTAAAGAACAATCACTATACTTAGGAGAACACTCTTTCATTACCAAACGAAAACTGATCTATTAAGCAGTTTAGCGTAATCCTTTTCACAGTCATGACGAACAAACTCCTGTCCGACTGGCACCTACTACTACATGTGTCGATGATACCACTGCTTTGGAGATTATTCCAAGCTGTGTACGATAATTTTGAGTCTGTGGATGAAATGCCAATGGTGACCACTAACTCAAAGTAGCCACTGAGAAGTAGTGTCCTGTGGTACTGTGTGTACCCCCTGTTTACGGTAACTTGTTAGTGTCTGGATCAATCCTGCGGCATAAATAGAGGGGCTTACTCATCTCCCCTCCCTCAAAACAGATTAAATTTAAGCGTTTTCATCATTCACTGTTGCCTGAACCATGTAGCTAATAAATTCAAGGGGTGCAGCTGGATAGATCAGTAACTAAAGCCAGCAACAAAGACAAGACTGATACAAGATAAATACAACGCGTTCATACCATAATTGTCCATGTCGCAGTATACTTGTGCCTTCTTTCCCTTAATGTAGACCCAGTAGTAGCCAGATTTAGCATCCGGGAATATTTGCTGAATTTGTGCACATGACGTCTGAGAGAAAGAGAAAAACAGTTCCCAGTACTTCTAACATGGTACAGTACTGTGCAAAAGAAGGGAACCGAGATTCGCCGAATTTTGTCCTTTGTTCCAAGTAATTTCGATGAAAGTGGGGAAAAGGAGGAAGAAAGGAAGAGGGAGAGAGGAGGATGCATGCATGCACCAAGTTATTTAAAACTGGTCAGATAGCACCGTTTATACCTGGTACTTTTCTGACATCAGGTTGAAAGAGGAAGTCTTCTGTCCGCTCGTCTGCTGATTACTTGACAGTTTCATTGAGATAATCATTACCAAGATAACTCTATACAGTTTGCTTTGATAGGAGGCATCACTGAGCGCACACCTGCTTGACTCGCATTTGCCGTTAATACGACTTCTGAATTCCCGACAGACAGGCAAAAAATCCCGCATCCCGTGCCCAAGTTCTGATGAATCCCGCTTAACGGGTAGCAGTCAAATCCCATTTCCCGTCAAGATATAATTTGCGTTTTCCCGAATCCCGCACCGTATTTTGGTCAAATCCCGGTTCCCGAAAATACCTTCCAGACCCTGGTAGGGTTAAATAAATTATGCTCGAAAATTTGAGCATTATGCTTTTGAGCGTCGTCACTCGTAAAATCATAGAAATATGCTCGAAATTATGCTCGGCCCTAGCATTATGCTCAAAGATGCTACGTGAATTTTGCGCAAAAAAAAAAAAAAATAGAGGCTAACATATTATCTTCTTCTTTTAAATAACAACAACACTCTTCTTTCATGGCCTCCAGTATTGAAATATCCCTCTTCTTTACCTAGGCCAGCATCTCCTTTCCTGCCTTATGCTTCAATGAATCAATGTGTCCCTTGATAATGCTGGCTTTTAATGCCAGCTCTTCTCTGCAGAACATTTTGCCACTCGATTTGCAAAATGGCTCGACATCTTTATATTCTCTTATCTTTGACTCGATTGACACATTCTTCACAACTGTTGATGGCTTTTGGGTCGCTTTACCTCGCCCTCAGATTTCTTTGTTTTTGCTTTTCTTTGTCGTAACCACACAGCTACGCGCCAAAAGGTCGGAAAGCTGCGAACTTCGAATTCGTAATCGGCTGAAAGCATTTTTGTCACGGTTTCTGAGTCTGCTTGGCTCAGAGTTCAAGGGACGTGACTCCGAACTGGAAGACCTGGAAGCCATGTTGAAGACCTGGAAGCCATGTTGCATAAAACTCTCAAACTTATGGGTGTTGCATGAAACGCACTTGGGGAGCCAGTAACTTACGGGCATAGAAAGTAACTTTGATGTAGCCTCACTCTTTTTTTTTTTTTCAAACAGTTTTAAAACCTTTTAAGCCTTAAAAAAAAAGCCTTCAAAGAAAGTCCCTGAAAAAATTCTTCTTCTTTTTAAGTGTACATCAGGTTAACAAAGCAGAACCACAAAGGCCACTTTAGTAAAAATTGACAGGGATTTACGTGCTATTTTTTTTGTAAACACATTACTTTGATGTTTTACGAAAATAAGTACAACCACAGGATAATTTTATCAACATTTATGTTCCTAAACATCACTATTATGACGGCATTACCAAGCCTTGATGCTGGCACCAGGACATTAAGTATTACTTTGATGTTTTTATCAGGAAATTTATGCCAGCATAATTTTATCTAACCAGTATAATTTAGACCCGTATTGACCCCCAGGCTACCCCTAAAACACATTCAAAACCAGGACAATGGGCCACACGGATTCAAGCCAGTGGGAGTAGCGCATGAATGTTTGATCAGTAGGTGCTTTATAGTTAAAAGTGGGGTGTAGTGAAGGAGAACTGCTGAAGAGAGTGAGAGAGGAAGCATAACTAGTAAAGCATCGAAAACGAATAGCGTACTGATAATGGAGCTTCGCAGATGTTGTGCCATTATTTCTCTTGTAAACGGTTACATGGTTACTTAATAAACGAAATTTCCCTCTTGTATTTCATTCAGAGTGGGCATATATCAGCTACGAAGAGGCTTCTTTAGGGCGCCTCTCCGAGGGTGAGCGGGCATCACAAAACAGTGAGAGGCCCGAACGAGGGGATGATGGGAACGATCACGTTCTCGTGTTACGTAAGTCAGCAAAAGTAAAACATGCCAATTCCATCAGAGAGTCGTCCGTAAAAATCGACCATAAGAATAACCCGATGAGAACTTACGAAAACACGCTAAGGATGTTAGCTTTTAAAAGTTAGTGCCCCAATGGTCTATTTAGTAAAACAAAAAATAGTCCTTTTTGAATATTTCAAAATACAACTTTCCGGTGACTCACCAATTGGATTTTTGGCCATGGATTATCCAAGTACACATATCCTTTGGCTGGAATAAGACTTTGGGGAGCAATATGGACATCGGCTTTGTTTAACTCGCAGAGAAAGTTAACCCAGTCAAAGTTTATACTTCGACACTGTGTTTGTTTGTCGCATATGTTTATGCAGCCTACCATGTTATCGGTCCCTTTTACGAGAAACACATGTCCCAGTAACCGAGTGTTTGATAACGAGGACGTTCCATTACATCTTGGTTCCTCGCAGCTCACAACGGAGCGAATGAAAAGGACTAATACAGCAATCGCAAACATTACTGAACTGCTTAAATGTGGCCAGTTTTAAAACCCACAAATTAAGTAATTACTTTGCTTTTACGAGTGTTAATCTTCAGATTAAGATCCATTACTCTAACTGAAAACCCTTATAAAATATTCTATTAACAGTGTTTTGTCCTGAGATTTTGTACCATCGCCAAATGTTATGAATATTTAATGAAACCCCGTTGTCTAGTGTTGCAAAAGACGCAATAAAAACGGAAGGTGCGTGAAGATGAAGGTCAGTAGTATCGCAGCTTTTTAAAACCTCTAATTTCACTGGACCGTTTTACGCCCGACCCCCTTTTCGGGGGGCTACGTTTAATTGTAAACTTTGTTTGTTCATAGTTGTTTTTCCTTCCAATCTTTTTAAGGTTTTCCTACTGTACACTGCAGCTACATCATTTTAGCCCTCATAAAGTATTCCATTTTAAAATAGCCCTTCTTGGATTTTAATGGCGTCGTATTCAGAAATTTTAAATGAGATCCTGCAGTTCTAAAGCATAACTGCAGAGGATAGGAAAAATAATTGATTGCTCTTATACGACTTCAAACGAGGCCTGCTAGAATTGTCTCGAAGGCAAACGGGGCGTTCTAACTTTTGTATTTATGTGCTTCCATTAAGCGCTTAACCAATATATACTCCAGATGTATTTAGTGAATATTTTATAAAGTCATCTCAATTATTTTACTAAGATGTAATGGTTTAGCTCATTTAATTCCAAAAGTATTATTTCATATCAACCAAAATGGACCCGATCCGTAGCCAAGGGCTTAAAACATTTGGTGTAAGTACATAGACTGTCTGTCGCGAAATAAAGGTGGTCGTTGTAGAGAGCTGGCCGTTAGTGGGGGATAAGTGTTACAAATAATAAGAAGAAACAGTGGGACACAATTAATCGAGTGAATGTCAACGTTTTTCAAAGTACGTGTTGAAAAAGGAGGAAAAACAGACGTTTCGAGAATGTTCCCTCTTCTTATTGAAGTGAACATTTATGCCAGCTACAGTGTAGGTCTAGTGTTTGGTGTCCCAACATCATCCCAGCCTCAATACTGGCCCTTCGTGTTGCAGTTCTGAAGCCATGAAGGGATCAACATTGTGGAGGTTCGACTGTACATGCAAGCTTTTGATTCATTTGACGAACAGGAGTCCTTCCTTATTAGGATATATTCCACTTAAACCATCACAGGGATATCCGTAAAGTACCCGCTCTGTATCTGTAAACAAAGGGGAACAAATTATAGAACTTGAATTATAAATGTTGTTGATGGTAGGCTCCAGTTACGTTAGTTTTATGGTTAATTGTTGTGATAATGGATAGATAGCGCAGATCCCATGTGCTCACACGCCGCGCTACCGGCACAAGCGAATAAAGCCTAGTAAACATGACAAGGGAGGGGCGAGTCGCCTATTTGAAGGGTCGCTTACTTATATTTTTCGAGTTGTTTAAAGGCGCTAAATTACCTGAAAGAGGCGCAACTACTGGGCGCTTATTCGAGCTATAACGTTGATTCTATTAACGTAAGATTTAGAATAAAACACAAACGTACCAATCTTCGAAGAGTGCCATGATACTCCGCCGCAGTCGTGGACGTTGTCGTGCATATCGAAAACTAATTGAGAAAGAATAAAGTTGAAAAGAAAGATATGGAGAATATTCACTCGAACTCAGAGATAGTACGGTAAGAGAGATGAATTCCAATATAGGCTTTAGTTGCTTGGACATCTCTCTCAGGTTCAGTATTCTTAGGAACAAAACAGTGCGAAAGTGAAATGATTTGTTTGAGTTATTAACCCTCGGACGTACAAGCAAATTCATAGCTTCACCATGGTACAAGGGGGGGGGTTGATGGAACCCCTCCCCAGAGTTTTTGATATGTTGCAAGCCTTTGATCTTCTTAACACGATGAGGTATATTTTATGTGTGGTGGCGCTACTGGAGGCCTGTGACGTCACCAAAAATGATCGCCCTTTTGGCCGCCATTTTAGATTTTACCAAGAATTAGAAATCAGGTTAAAACCGCGATAAATGGTAATTTTTTGTGCTTGACTTGTAAAATAACACATGAATAAGCACTTTGCATCATTTAATCTACAAACTTTATTTTTATTGTTGAAAGAAGATGAAAAAACATGTATTTCCTCTCAAAAAAGGCTTGACCACCCGGTACTTATGACGTCATGTCTCGTAACCATAGTAACTGACCATCACTGAACTTGTCTCAAAATGCGCGCGAGGGATAAACAAACAGCTACTGAAAACGTCGGGTGCTGATGTTTTTCCTCTAGGAAAAAACTAACTCGTCATTGATTTAAAATATACACCTTAACGACTGTACATCCTTCCACTGATTGTTGGTGGACGAAAGACTGCACATATCTCATGTGCACGTTTTTCCACCCACGAATCAATATGCCTGTACGAATTATTATGCCTGTCTTGCAACAAATCAGGTTGACGCAGGTTGCGAAAAAGGTACGGAAACTAGAGAGTAGCCCTGCAATTTGCAACAAATCTGTACATGCATCGTGTTGTGCGTATTACCGGTCCAAATGAAAGGCAAACTTGCTTTGCAGCAAGCTACATAGCTCCCGTGTATGGTGTAACCCAAGCGTAATTTTTGAAGTCAGTATTCAATACAATTTGGATCAACTTGTAACAAGCTAATTTGTTGCAAGACAGGTTTGAACGTGGGTGGTAAAACGCTTAACATAGCCTTCCCACTGTTTTTGCCGCAATACTGAAAACAAGTTGCACGTTTTTTTCGCCCCTTGTACCGTAGCTTTATTTACTACGGAGGGGTGTGTTTCTTAAGCGGAGCAGTCCTAGCACGTTTTTGGAAACCTCCGTTTTCGTGTTAACATAAATTTACATGGAAATCACAGTATTTGTATTAGTTGTTCCATACTAATGAAAACAAGTTAAAAAAGAAGAAAACCGTGCCAGCCAGTGTATTACCAAAGTCAGATACACATTGAAAAGCTCCCTCTCATATGACGTCACAGAGCGATTTTCGTATGACCTTAAAATGAAAAAGCGCGAACAAAAGAGAAAGAACAAAAGAAGGAAAATAGAGCAATTTCATTGGTTTATCGAACGGATACGAACGTGCGTGGCCTTTGGTTGATTGAGCGAACGCTAGGGTGAAACAAACTTCTAGACTGTTCAGTCCCCTATTTTCCCGTAAGATCGTCGAGATCGAGCACTTTTCGTTACGGGCTGCCATCATGCATGAGTGTGAAAACTACTTAGGGGCGGGGGCGCCCCTCCCCCTAGAGCTATAATCCCCGACGCCCGCCCCCACGGTACATTTGAAAATCAAGATGACCGCCATTACTGGGAAGACGTGCTATATCTCGACGATCTCACGGAAAAATAGGGGACTGTGAACAGTCTATAAAACTTCCTTCCCCGAGAACTTTTTGGAAATCAATCGACACTTGGCTTTGACGTCATACTGCAACACGACTGGCCAATCGATCAATGTCTTCTCCATATTAGGATTTTCTTTGGCTGGAAAACGAAGAGTTCATGTTCTGATCTTTTCATCCAAAACAAATAACGAACACTTACCGAATCCTCTTTTCAAGGTCAAACGAAAATCGCTCTAACGCTTTTGTTGCTCTTTCCATAAATTTGCGTAGATGCTGGTCAGGGAGTGACAGCGCTCAATAAAGATTGCCTAAGTTCATTTACCTCTGTGACATTCACCGCCAGTCCATATAGGGTAACCGTTCAGTACCCCCTTGCAATTTGATTCCCAGTGATAAGGGTACTCGTGCGACACTATGATTCGAGGGCAGCTGGGAAGAAAAAAAATGCAGCAAGGTTTTACTTATAGAGATAACTGTCTAAAGCAGCACCAGGTTCGGGTTTTTAGGTAAGAGAGACGGAAGACCTCTGTTTATTCGTATCAAGGTTGCCCATTCCGACGACTTACCTCTGCTATCAATTACCGGGGCCCTGATAAAATTAAAATGATAATTAAAAACGAATTAAAGCTATACAATACAGAGATATGAATTCTACTGGACTATATACAGTTACAATAAATATGGAATAAAATCAATAAAAACATTAAAAGTTTTTGTTATACAACCATTGTAGTAAAAAGAGTTTTCAGGCATGTAATTTCGAACGCTTGTCAAGTGCAATCTGTTCATTTGCCTAGTAGTGCGATTATTTATGGAGCTGTCAAAGTGAAATAGTTATTGCAGGCAGGATCCTTTAATGCATATTTCAAGGAGTTCATCAACATGATTCTCAACGTCTATTAACGAGTGACGACCGCTTAAGATAAGATAAAGCTTTGTCGCTGTCCCTTATTTTGGAAACAATTTTAGCGGTACTCTTTGAAGCCTGTCTAATGACGAACTGTTGCTGACTCCGCAGAAATTCCACACGGTGTCACTATAATCCAATGTAAAAGAATTTGATGATTATAATCTAAACGTCAAAAGAATGTTTGAATCGATTATCCAAAGGGGTTCAAAGGGGCGGATCTAGGGGAGGGTGCTAAATGCGCCCCCCAGATGACCTGCGGTTTTCTAATACAACTGGTATTCTGCCAAAAAAAAACTATGTGGTTTGTTGGTGTTGAAGCACAGCAAGAGACGAGTGCACCCCCTCCTAAAAAAAATCCTGGATCCGCCCCTGTCAAGACATCAAAAGGAAATGAATTTGTATGATGAGTAACGGCGGGCAAAGCAAGGTTGGGTTGGACGGGACATTTTAAGAGTTACAAAATTTCATCGTTGGTATTGTAGTTTTATTACCTATAGGTGTAGCATTCAGAATTAAACTGTCTCACTCCACCTGGAATCTGTAAAATAGTAAACAAAAAAAAGTTGTAATGCGCACGCATTACAGCTGGCCGTACAGTCAAACCCCACATAGTACTTTCAGTGTCCTCTCAGTGTCCTTATTAACCCTTTAAACCCTAGGATCAAAATGAGAATTCTCATTTGTTGCTCCTAGTCATTTCCTACAGAAGTTGTGGCAAGAAGTTGATAAAATATCAAGCAAATTCACCTTGTGTGCGATCTTGTCTGTAATTCTCATGACCACTCTGTTTTACAAAGCATTGATATTACAAGGAGAAATTTGATGCTCATCAGTCTTAGGGCTTAAAGGGTTAAGTGGTTTAAAGGAACTTAGCCCTTTAAGTAAATTTTTTCATGTGGTTGGGTCATCATGTGACTTCATCGCTCCAAAACGCCGCCTATTAGATAGATATCGTAGATCATAGCAAAACTAGATAAGCTAGGACATGGGGATAATTTCACGGAATATCAAAGATAGCAAAAAAAATAGCTGAACAATGAAAAAATGGTTAACTAAGTGTTGTTAAAAGTTCTCAATGACCACTACATAGAAGAAAACAAGGTGAATAACAGGTGCTGTTTAAAAAACGAGCAGGAGTCTATTATCGGGTTTAAAACCTCGAAGGGAAGCCGAGAGTTTTTAAATCTGATAATACACGACTGCTCGTTTTATGAACGACTACAAAATCTCTCATATAAATCAATTCATTCTTTCGCTAATATTAAGATTTGAAGTTATTTTGGTCTTAAAAATTGGCCATAAAGCTTAGCTGTGTCTTAATCAGATGTAAAGACACTAATTAAACATTAATTTTTTTTTGTTTTTATTTATGAATTATTTATGAGTTTTTGAAGTTCTTATAGAACGACAAGGTTATGAGTTTTGAAGCAAAAGATTAAAGAGAAAGAAGAGCGCAATATGCAACGATTCTGAATAAGGCAAGGTTTCAAAGAACTTTTAAATGAATAAAACCTTGCAGATAAAGAATCCTTGAAACCTTAATCCTCCCACTGCACAGCAGCAAGCTAACTACGTACGCTTTTACCTGATAAAATGCGGTGTATCCATCTGTGACTTGATCAACCCTGAAGGTACCTAGTTAGTAAGACCGTAGTCAGAATATTTGCCATTGACAAAAATTTAAAGCAAACATGCACTTAGCAAGGATTTTTATGGACCACCTGGCTTTTGGTATTGGTGACCTGTTTCGTAACCTTGTGCATGAAATTCATAGCTTTTTATACCTGCTTATAGTCCCAATGTTTGTTTGCATGCTTATGTGCATGTTCCGTCCAACGGTAGACCTTAAACTACCGCTTATAAGTCTCCTCCACCCACAAACACACACACACCCACACACTTATAAGCCTTTTTATAAAATAACTAAGATAGTACGCGCGCTCTGATAGGCCGAGAGGCGTGTTTGCATAAGAGTATGTAAACATGGTTGTGACGTCAAGGTGTATTGCTTTTCGCGCGCTAACCACGCAAGCACCAATTTGAAAACGCTTTTGAGTTGAAAACTCGACAAGTTTACTCATTGCCCATTCCCTTTTCGGCTGAAACTTGAAAAGTCTTTACAAAAATGCTCTGTCAACTTTTTTCGCTTAAGCTGACATTTTAAGCGAGAAAAATCCCTTTTTTTGGAAAGCATCTTTTTAGCAAAACAAGAACTGATTACGATTATGATTATCATCATCATCAAATATCGATTATGACATCAATAATGTGGCGATAGAAACAGGTTTTCTTGTAGCCATACTATTTGGGAAAGTAAGAGGGGAGGGAACGGGAGCTCTTATTCGAAAGGGGTACGGTTGGACGCTTATTCGGGGAAGGCGCTTATTCTAGGAAATACAGTATATACCTTCCTGTGTTGCAATCTCGTGAATATCCTGATCTGATAACTTTCTGCATGGAATTGACGTGTTGGTGAACTCAACGCAACGTGTTAAATTGTAGCAGTTGACTTCTGCTCTCAAAAGATGGTCATTGCTGGAAGAACTGATGCTTGCAACAAGCGTCCATCCTCCACCTAATGTTTCAAATGATATAAATGATCATTCTTTTTAGGGCTTTTAGTGGACTGGAAGCTTTCCAAAAGACGTTATTGGAGGTTGGGGTACATTGATTTCCGTGACTAATTCGATTCGCCATACATTATTCAAGTTACGTTCACATGGCACCGACATCGTAATTTTTAAGGAGTTATTATAACTCCAAAAATGTAAAAATTTTAGGTACATGATAACCCCTTTTTGGGGGTTACTTTAACGCGTCAATATTAACTCCAAATCCAGGGGGGATTTTTACTACTGAAAAAGAATTCTTGAAACTCCCTTTTTGGACTGATAAAATAACTCCCCCAACAATAACTCCCATGGTAAGGAGTTAATTAACCCCACTAGAGAAGTTATTATAAGTCTTTGAAAATACCGTGAGACGAATTTTCGACCGGCTGAAAATTTTTACCGGGCACTTCGCTCACACGGGACCATTCAATATTTTCGTTCTGTTCACGCGGAAATTTGAATGGCTACGCGTCTAAATTTCCGTACGGTTGTAGTGGTTACATTTGAACGGAACAGCTTCTATACCCACGAATTTTCAACCGGTTGTTCTTAAAAACAGTGAAGCGAGCTTCAATGCATGAGGTCGTGCAGCGACCGAGCGAGCAAGGGAGTCTCGAGATCGACTTGTTTTCCCTAAATGGATTTGAATCATAATATAAATTTACGCGGGAAAACAATGATTGACAAATGCTGCGTCGGGAGTGGCATGAAATATTGTTCACTGCCTATTGGTCAATTATCATGACGTCACGGGTAGAACTTTCTACAGGAAAATTTCCCGCCAAATAAGGTATGAAAAGTTAAAATGGCATAACCAACCAGGAAAAAAATAAAGGACTTTTAGAAAGTCTAAGTTCAAAGGGGACCATTCAATATTTTTGTTCTGTTCACAAGGAACTTTGAATGGCTACGTATCTAAAGTTTCTGTGTGGTGGTTCGTTTAGAACGGAACACCTTATATATTCCGCACGAATTTTCAAGCAGTTGAAAATTCGTGCGGTGCGCCGTGTGAACGTACCCTAAGTTCCGGTGCAAACACCGCTCCACTCATGTGCCCAATTGATGAATTAAGTACGGCAATAGAGCGGCGTCTGATTCAATAGACCTCTTTATAGCTTGTATGTTTTGTTTTCCCAGTACACTGGTCATGTGCTAATACTCTAGAGAACTGTTCCATTCCATTCCATAGTTCCATAGTTCTACCAAATATTACTTATGCTTTATCTGTGTATGGGGCCTCTGAATCAGAGCTAACTATGGCCCAGCAGTTTTTAGATCGATGTTTTAAACGCAGATACATATCCAAGAAATTAGAGATAGGTGAATTACTGTGCAAGATCATAGAATTTGTAGGAAGGTTTCTAGTATCCCGAACTACCCTCTTAGAGCTAACTTCCCTGAGACTAAGATTACAAGATACAACTTAAGGAATAAACCTCCCGCAATGCCCGCCATTCACACGGACCGTTTTAAGAATACATTCTTTTATAGAATTGTCTTTAAGTATAATGTACCTTTGTAAATAGTGTACTTTCTGTATTCGATTTTGTATTTGTTTCTATGTATATCCTAATCTTATTTAGAGACATACTTTTGCCTATTAACATTGTTATATTTAAATTTATTAAATAGACACGAGTGTTTTACTGGAAAATATACCACTCGTAAAATTCATAAAACTACATCCGGGACCCGAGTGGTTTATTTTCCATAATCTCGCAAGTGAGTTTATCGATGACGTAAATTTCGGTCATTTCCTTCTATTATTTTATCGATGTCTTTTTGTTTATATAATAAAAAGGACATTACACGGCGGCTTAAAGATATGAATTTTATTTTCTCGTGGCAAAAACAATATTTTACTCACTCGCGCAAAAATAAAATTCATATCTTCGCGCCACCGTGTAATATCCTTTATGTAACATAAGATGTGTAATTTTATCTTTTGAACAATAAAGACACTTTATTTATTTATTTATTTATTCAAATTTCGTCTTATTCACGTGCATATCTTCGCATAATTTATGAGAAGACAATGGGTCAAGTTCCCCTCGGGACGTCTATTGGGAAAACAAAACATACCAGCTAAAGAAGTCTATTTGGTACCCCAGTTTTAGTTTGGTGCGGCAAAGGCATTAAGTTCTACAGAGTCTGTCGAACTTTTGTCGAACTTAACTGCGACAAAAGGCGCGCCCTCTGAATCAGATGTCGCGCCCGTGTCGCTCCAAAGTCGAACTTATTCAATTAGGTTCGGCACATGAAAAGTACGGCGTCTGAACCAGGCCTCAGTGTCTTCAGTGGTATGTTTTTGAGAATTCAACAAGCTTCAACAATTTTAAGTCAATTAGTGAAAAGAAAAAACAGTTTTCAAGAATTAAAAAAAGACTCAAATTGTGAACATAAGTAGTTAAGGTATTCCCCAGTTTTCAAAATTAACCTGGTATGTATTTCCATTGTTGAAGCGCTTTCATGTAAAAGGGAGAAAACGATTCGAAAACGTACGCTACGTGTAAACCTGTATTTTTCGAAAAAGACGCTCCCGGCTTCCACCCGCTTCCTTCCTTCCGCTCTTTTATCTGCCATTTCGAGTAACCTTGCCGCAAATTATTCTCTAGGCCTACCACTCCCTGCCCCCGCCTCCCCTCCTCCTACTTAGCTGCCGCTGTAGCTAGTAAATTTAGATGTGGATTAAGTAGCAATAAAGACAATTGAAAGTGATGCAGGACACAAAGCGTTCATACCATAATTGTCCATGTCGCAGTACACTTGTGCCTTCGTGCCTTTTATGTGAACCCAGTAGTAGCCAGATTTAGCATCCGGGACTAATTGCTGAATGTGCGCACACGATGTCTGATAAACAAGTAGAAAATGGCGACATTTAGCATTGTTGGACTTTAGCTTAGTTACATGGATTCTAATCCTGCATCCCGGACCTCCCACCAATATTAAGCCCTTAAACGACCAAAATTCTTAACCGAATATCCTCAACTGGGACAGGTCACAAATGCAGGTTTGATTACAGGTCACCGTGCTACGGTAAATAAACAACACCAAAAGTGTCCCATAGCCCTAATCACGATCCGAAATTTAGCGGGGAAACTGCTTATGCAGTAATTTATATCTTATCAATAGAGGAGTGACCTGTACCATAGTTAATAAAGTGGAATGGTTATGAAGCCCGACAGTCTTCTTGTTGTTCTTCTTCTTCTTGTTCTACCATTTTGAACTTACTGGCCAATAGAGCGTTTTCACTCACCTGGCCAGCATCTATGCTAATCTATTGGAACAAAAAAGGTTTTTACATAAGAAAAGAGTTCAATTCCCACAGGGTTGTTTTGGTACACCAACATGACCGCCGTTTCATTGTTTTGGAACACCATTATGGCCGCCATGACGTCATGTGAAAACACTCTGTAGAAACATGGCATTAATTTATTCAGCCACAATTTGCAACAAAAAACAAAGGATTGCATGTGCACGGTCATGGAGTTTCCAAAATAATCTGCAACACCGTTGTTTTCATCTTTGATGTTTGCGGGCTTTCATAACCAGTCTTCTCAACTGTGCCTGCACTAGTGACCTGTGTTTCGGCGCCATAACAAATTTCAACTTTTTCGCGGAAAAAAAAAATTAAAGTTATAAAAATGAAATAAAAAAAAAAAGAAAAAAGAAAACCACCATATTGAGTAATACCTGAATAATACATACATTCGTTTGATTTACGGCGTCCAAAACACAATTTTCATCTCGCCTCTCTTTTAGTCCCTGTGTCTTGCCCTCAAACAACTCAGCCCTTAACTTTTCAAGTCACTCCTTGGCAAGGTTCAAGCAGAGTTGAATCACCACACATGACCAGACCCTGTTTCACTTGATTCATTTTTAAGCTGTGACCTTCAGCTTAAATGGGACCAAAGTGACTAAATACAATGCAAATTATAGAACAGGAAGCTCAACATATTTCTTATTCCACTGAGACCATGCAAATGCAGTAATTTTCACAACTTGTCAAGTCAGATGCATGGAATTCAACTCTCGAGAGAATTTGAGGCCCCGTCCACAAGTATACATAGGGTGGATTCATTTGCAACACACGTAGCCTGCGTAGCTGGCGGGATTAGCGCGAGGCTTCAACCCTCGCTTCGCGTGGTAGTTCCGCGTGGCCGTCATGAAATTACCCCGGACACAAGAATCCCACCAGCTACGCAGACTACAACATACGCGTATAGCTGTCAGCATTTCCCTATTGTTTTTAGGCTTTAAAGCAACTGATGAAAATTCAACAGGCAAATGCGGCAGCTATCCGTGTATGTTGCAAATGAATCCACCCGTAATAAAACGGCTTGTTGTTGTTATTTTCTTCTATATTCGCCTCAAAACGAAAACCCAACTTTTAAAAACGCTCTAAAGAGGAGAGTTTATGAAAACATTGTTTTTCCGAACTCACAAGGATCGACGACTAAAATAAAAAATGTTCGAAACGATGACGCTACTGTACCTTATGTTGTTCGGTTTCAATGCTGGTCGATTATTTCACCTCCCTTCTTAAATCTTAAGATTACACCTAATAGAGCTACCACAGAAAATAATACGACGCAGCTGCATTCTCGTATTACGTAACAAACTCAACAAAAACTAAACAGGCTGTTTTTTTAATTTTTAAATCCGCGGAAACTTTAGCATTATAACAACTCTGTAGAAAACAGGTTGAATAAAAAACAAAACATTAAAATAACAAAAAAACATACATAAACGCTGTTTACCAATAACATTTTACCTTCCCACAACTCACCAGCTGAAATTTTATCCATGGATTATCCAAGTACACAAATCCTTTAGAAGTAATAAGACTTTGGGGAGCAATATGGACATCGGCTTTGTTTAATTCACAGAGAAAATGAACCCAATTGAAGTTTATACTTCGACACTGTGAAAGCTTGTCACAGATGTCAATGCAGTCTCCCGTGCTTTTAGCTTCTTGTACAAGGAAGGCTCTTCCTATTAAGCGGGCGTTTGGTAACGAGGACGTTCCGTTGCATCGTGACTTTTGGCAACTCGCAACGGTGCGAATAAGGAATAGTAAAACTGCAGTTGCAAACATCTCTGAACTTTTGATAAAGTTCAAACGTAGCCAGGCATGACTCACTAATTTATTAATCACTTTGTTTTTACAAAATGCTCTGTCCTGCAGTTTAAGGTCCCTAACTTTGAGTTTACCCTCATAAAATATTCCATTAACTGTCTTTTCTTCATGTATTTTGCACAACGGCAATGTTATAAATATTTAACGAAAGACCATTATCTTTACTAGCGTAGCAAATATAGGAACAAAAAAGAAAATAGGTTTTAAAAAATCAGTAGTGTCGTAGCTCTTTAAAACCTATTCAGGGCTTAAGGTTCTAATGCTAGCTTTGTTTGTTTAATGTTGTTTTTTTTTTCTAAACAAACATGCGAGGCCTGGTAAAAGCTGAGTCAAACTAGGTTTAAAAACATAAGTAGTATCGCAGCTCCTTAAAACCTATTCAGGGCTAAGGTTCCATTGCTGACTTTCTTTGTTTATTGTTTTTTTCTAAACAAACATGAGAGGCCTGGTAAGGTCTGACAAAAGCTGAGTCGAAAAATGATCATTCCTTTTCATTCATTTTCGAACGCAACGCTTTATAAAATAAAAACTGCCTACTGGAAAATGAGTGTGCACTTGCTCACATAGTATTCTGGTGCAAAAACAATGAGTCCGTAAATACTGTATAATCCATTTCCATGTGGTACATTGGGCGGTTTACTTTATACACACTCAGACATTCCTCATTTTATAAGTAAGGGTTTTCTAAAACTTAACAATAAAAATTACGGAGAAAAAACGACGTTTCGACCGATCTTCGGTCATTTTCAAGTAAGTAAAAAGTTTAAATGAGTTAGCATATTGTTGGTTTTCACATGAGGTCACTAAAATTCAAACTACAAAACTATCGATCATACTGAGATTTTACTTTCATGGTGTATTAGACCAGCTGAAAACTAATTTTCAAACAAATTTTCGCTTCAAAGGGTTCTTGGTTTTGTAATAGAGTACGCTTGAATTTTTAAGCTTTTGCGTGACGCAGCATTTACATGACGGCCGAGAGAGCTGTTATTTAGGATAAAAAAGTGACTTTTTTCGAGGAATTTTGCTATCTAAACAGTTCAAGTATTACAAAAAGTATTACTTTAATGTTTATGAGTTCATCTGGGAGTAAATTCACGCTTTTGTAGCAAAACTCGGTAACAGATGTTTTTGTTGGTTTCCGTCCGCCATGTTGGCGCTCATCTGGATGAGCACCAGCATGGCGTCTCCATACAAAGCTCTTATAAATTTGGGTAAAACATTTCTTCGGATATCTCGTATACGAATTATTCTTTTGACCCAAATCTTGGCGAGGGTCTTTGTATATTTACCTCCTTTAATTTCCCAGATTCTGGGCTTTATCTGTCGAATGGTTTTGATTTTTATTTTGATCTATTTTGAATGGCGTGACACTGAAAACCTGCAATATATATGTGTAAGGTGTAAAAATATGTTAAGAACTATAACTATTCCCGGCTCGAACTCAGGAAGCCAAAGAAAAAAAAATTCGGGTCTGAATAGGGTTAATAGGGAGCGTCTATTTTTTTTTCTATCTTCAAGAGATACATAATGAACTGGGACAGGGCTGAATGAAGCTGATGCCAAGTTTACAGCCACTTGTTTTAGTAAATATTCGTATTCAGCCATTTTGTACTGAGGAAACTAATACTCCATTCACACCAACTAAATATGTCGTGTTTAATTAAACCAAGTTTAAAAAAATGAAAAATAGTTATGGACAATAACTAGAACACAGCTTTTTACATAAAATTCAAATGAACTTTAACATGAAGAAGATGTGAACTGCGGAAATACAAATTTAAGTGAACATACGATCGTTGCATTGGTAATTAACCCGAAAAATTTTCAGGACTTCAACGGGATTTCAACCCAAGGCGCAATTGTTTAAATTGCCATTACCACTGCGAGGATCATATCTTAATTTAAACTTTTAAATTAACACGTTGCTTAATAGAGAGGAGAATTCGTTACGTCACGTTGCCACGGTAGCAAAATTTCTGGCTGAAAACAAAGCAAAATCATCACTCAACAAGTGAATCATGACACTGTTACAAACTTCATCGATCTTAATCAATTTCATTTAATTTGTCAAATGCAGGCAAAACTTTCGGGGTATCTATTTTACAAAAAAATGAAAAGAAAGTTTTTGGGTTGTGTTCAGCTACTTTATAAAGTAGGCGTGTATTAGAAAGTTTCATGTCGGAGTCGGGCATCGACGGCTAAGAAATGTACAAAAAAGCGTGATGCAAGTGCGAAGTAGTTGTTTTGCTTATATAAACCTCTTGTTTTTTGGGGGTTTTTTTGCCGTACTCGTTGCCATCGCCGTCGTCGTTCTATTGTCGTTCACTGGTGATCCAGAAATTTTGCTTCCATAGTTACGTGATGTCACACTTCTCCTCTCTAGTGGCCTAAATTTGTCATCAATAAAAGTACAGTAAGCAGCTTTAAGAAAACAAATTTAAACCGTGTTTGACTAAACAACTTTAAACATGTTTAAGCTTTGGTGTGTGTGCAAACCACGCTCCCAGGGCTTCCTTTTATAAGACGGTCTCTATGGGGTGATAGCTAATTGACGGTTGACGGTATTTTTTTTTCCCTAAGTTCAAGAGCTTTTGACGGTTGACGGTTATTTAAGTGGAAACTTAGTCCAAACAGTTCAAGTACATGTTAACTTCTGTATAAATTAATATAAGTTGATGGTCTCGTAATGTATCGAAGGAGTGTTTTCAAGAATAGGTGAACTCCTTTTTCTAGTTTCGAGATTCTTTGGGAGCAAGAATCCCGTGAAACTCATCTGAAATAGTGAGATTTGAAATACCTGAAATCTTTTTGACGGTTAATATTAATCTTGATTGTTGACGGTTGATCACGGTTAAATTTTATGCTGTTTGACGGCATTCACTAGAGACGCTCTTATAAGGAAAAAGCCCCGGGGAGATGAGGTTAGTCTTCAACCCGAAATTCAAAAATGTTTATGTTGCGCTTTACCAAGCCTCGCGGAATTTGAATTGTCATCAATTCTACAGCCAGTTAGCGTGTTTTTATTTCCCGCTAAGCCATTCACATCACTCTGAACCTTAAATCACACTAGCAAAGGTGGCCGTAAGTCAAAACCCAACAACTTCCTTCTAGAATTCATTTTAGAAAATTCTGAGAAACAGACTGTCCATGAGAAAGTACAGCCAAGGAGGCTTCAGTTGAATGTTCACACTGTCACTGGACGATAAAACTATTTTGCACAAAATGCTCCTTGCAAATATGTCGCAAAATTGTAAAAAGTGAGGAGTAAATCTGAGGCAAAGATCGTAAAGGCCATATTTGCCTAGTTATTTGAATCCCCTGTTTTTTGGTCTGCAAATGTGGTATTTACTATCTTGGCCCAGATTTACTCCTCAGTTTTTACAAATTTGGGACGTATTTGCAAGGAGCAAATTTGAGCAAATCCATTTTTTAGTCCAGTGTATAAGATTTTGTCCACAGAATCAAAAGTTTGAACCAGCTTACGAGACTCCTTCACTTAAACCAACTGGGTACCACAAGGAGCCAAAATCGGTCTTCTAGGATGGACTAGGCCCCCGTCACTTACAATGATATTCATATGATGCTGAAATTGTGGGTCGATGTTAATTGAAATATTAGTGTAGGAAATTGCATGATTTGTAGTGATATTAGGCATAAATACTACAAGTGAAAAATTGAAAATCGAAATTGTTATACGTAATTTCACGAGCCGTTAAGCGAGTGAAATTTGAGACAATTTTAAAATATCACGAGTAGTATTTATACCAAATATCACGTAAAAATCATGTTATTATTTGTTTATACTACTACCCGCAAAAGATTTGTAATTTTCATATCTAGGTATTTCAAATTAAGCTGAAATTCCACTGCTCTAAGCCAATCAAATTACAGAAATTTCTCGTGTAGTAGTATAATATCGTAAACTTCCGCTTTTAAGCTCTGGGCTTAAACAACGTAAGGCATTTTAGGAGGGTTTTAGATAACCGGACTAAAAAAGCATTCAAAACAAGCTACATGATAATAATAATAATAATAATAATAATAATAATAATAATAATAATGATAATAAAATTCATTTATATAGCGCCATTAATACTAATTATTCATAGCGCTTACAGAGCAGTGCTGATCAAAATACTTTTATAAATTACTCGCTTTTTTAAGATTCAAAACATTTCAATTTTAATACAAGCTAGAGGGGGGCTTATAAACGGATGTACTTTTGCATCAATTTAGGTTTCTGGGAAACTGCCCACCTACCCCTCCCCTAAGTCAACATTAACACTTACTTCTCAGTTGAGGCAAAATGTCGGGTTAGGGGAGGGGTAGGTGATCCCTGCCTTTTTTGTTACATAACAGGTAGAAGGACTATTGGGAAGGGCTTATAAGTGTGAGGAGTTTATATATGTGCAAGTTTACGGGATTGAAATTAACATTGTTGATTCTCAATTGCTTCCATCTCTCCTCTATTTGACAAACAGGAATCCTGCCGCGTTGTCTGCTATTCCGTAATTGTTACCGCAAGCGTAAGCGTACAACACTCGATTTGTCGCTGAAATGAAAAGCACATTGCAAAAGCTGATATTAAATATAACAAAAAGGTGCAGCTTTTCTACTTGCATAGCATAAAAACCTCATGACACAACAACCTCAATTGTGTATTTTCCGCGTTAATAATAAGAAACCTCACTCATAATGGCGGCCTATCAATATATTCTTTTATACAGTGTAGAGGGTGAGGGGGAGGGGGGTACGTTTGTCCCTCGTCTGAATTTCAAAAGCGGTCGTTTCGCGAATTGAAGACGAGACCATGTTGCTGTAGGTATTTTTCTATAATTGTATTAATATTTTGTGATTTTCCTTGTCGCCAATTCATTTGTCTTATGTCGCCGTTTCAAGGCCTGACGTCAGTTGTCGGAATTTAACCCTAACAGAGACCAGAGAGGTTTGTTATATATTTATGCAGGGGCGGATCTAGGGGGAGGGTGCAGGGGGTGCACAAACCCCCCTTCCCCCCTCCCCCTTCGTTCCCTGAGATGACCTGCAGCTTTCTAACACAACTGGTATTCTGCAAAAAAAAATCTGTGTGGTTTATTGGTGTTGAAGTAAAATATGAGACGGGGTTAAAGAATTCATGTTAAACGCAGTAAAAATGGTCGTTAAAATTGTAGTTCCCGTTGTGCACCCCCTCCTACGAAATCCTGGATCCGCCCGCGTCTGATGAAAGAATAAATAAATAGGCCGCCAATTGAAAAAGGTCTGTTTCGGTGTGAAACATTTGGACCGACCATTACATGAACGTTTTTTGTTGTTGTTGTTGTTGTTATTTGAATTTTTGAGCTTAACCAAAACTGCTTCGTTCTTAACGTTCAGTGCAATTTTTTTTCTTTTAGCGCTTAAGCTAGCGGGTTATAACAAATTAGAGCGAAGTACGCTCGACAGTGAGTGTGATCAAACGTAGGAGTTAGAAATTGAGAGGTGGAGTAAAGGGCAGAGACAGTGGAGTGACGTACCTTACTAGGAACTCGCCTACTCAGCGAAGGAGCACCAGAGAGACTCTGGATTCACTGCATTTTAACTTAAAGACTTTTTAACGACTGGCGGATTAATTCTGGTACATCAGTTCTACCGCTTGAGCTGGAGGAACTATGTACTATTTGTATGCTTGAATAGTGCCGTTTCAACATTTCCTCGCAATCTTTGTTATAGACAAAAGGACAATTATATATGGACAAGCGTACCGAATTTCGACGAGTCCCAACGCGATCCACATTCAGAATCGTCATGCATGTCGAAAACTGGAAGACAAGAAAAAATAATTAGTGAAAAGGCTTAAAATTTTGTGTTGACAACCTATTTTGGCTTACGATTCTACATGTCTAGAAGGGGAATCTGATACAATTTATGCATAGATTGTGCCACAGGCTGAGGTAGTCAGTCCATATATGAGATAACTCGGGCCGGTCGCCTGCGTTGTAGCCGGCCCTCGCATCTTTTTTTAATAGCAACGTTTATTTTAGAAACCATAATGTATAGTTCGTATTATACAGAAAGTTTAGAGTGTGTGCGGCGCAGGCTACCTGGCCCGCCGAACCCATGATTTGTGTGATGTGTAAAGTGAGTAGAGGCAGAGGTTACACGACACAACCTAGGAAAAGTAACTCTGTTTTTCAATCGCATAACCGTGGGTTCCTTTATCCTCTTCTAAGATTAATAACTGAGAACGAAGAGGAAATAAGCAACGGCTTAATGCCATAGCCCAAAGACGCTATCATTGTGACTGAGGGAAACAATCTTAAAAACATCTAGCAGGATCTTACCATTTTTTTTGAAGGCATTGGTTGGTGGTATGGCCGGGATTTGAATCCAACGATCCCGCTAAGGAAAGCTGCGGTTAGTGACCTGCGCTAATAAGGCGGTGTGAAGGTTTGGACGGCGGTATATCATACAGATATCGTTTCTCAGTAAATATAGCAAGTTCTGCTTCACAGTAAATTAAAGCATTACATCTGCAGGGCCTTTTCCACAAGATTTGTACTACGTATGACTTCTTACCTCTGTTACAGCCGCTGGGATGTATACGATAACCATTCAGTATCCCTTTGCAGTTTGATTCCCAGTGGTAGGGGTACACGTGAGACACTATGATACGAGGGCAGCTATAAAACACAATGGAATGTCTAGGTTGTAATAGCCTCCCACGTGCGCTTCCTCGCGCGTTCCTCCTCCACGAACGTCTGCTGAAACGAGCGGTCACTTTCGTTCGTAGAAAAGGGCCACTCAGGAGCCATTTTCCAACTTTGGGTAACCTCGTGTTCATGGGGGAGGAACGCGTGACGAGGTCCTACGGACGTCGGCGTGGGGTGCCAGCTAACGTTATAAATTCAGATGTTGAGAGTCGATGATGGTACTTTTTGACGCCCCTTCATGGTATCGCTCAGACATGTTGAGTAATTTCACCAGCTGAGTGTCAAGCCACACAAGTATTTGCAAAAGTGGGTAGTGTATGTATTGTGGAGCAAATTACATACAACAATGGTAAAGAAAGCAGCCCAACGTAGGTTAATCGAATTCTTCTTTCTCGTAATCGGCCAAAGCAATCCCCCTCTTTTTTCGTACACAGTTCCAATGGAATCAAACCACTATGAGATGAAACTGCATTTCCAGACATCATTTTCTTTAGATATTAGCCAATTATGTCGATAGAATGTTTATTCACTATTTCTATGACCCTTAAAAACTGCGTTTCAAAATATTTCGAAAGCGTTCTCACATCATGTTTTCAAACGTTGCCATAACCGAGGCAACTAAGGGAAGTACAAACTCCCTAAAGCGATTTCTTAAATTTTAAAAAGGCAAGTAAAAAAACGTAATGGTGTCATTACGTTGTTATGACAACTGCCATGTCAATAAAATATGGATCATAACAAATTTTCATTTTTTATATAGTACAGCTGCGGTACCAGTGACCTTTTTAGGAAAGACATCTTTGTTAATGCCGACGTAGTAAACGCTCAAAGCGAGGAAGTATATCCTCCCTAAAAAATCCAGTTGACCAACCATAACAGGAATGATGCCCCTACTTCCGTACGTAATGTGAGACGAGAGTTGCAGTAATTTAGCATGATTTACCTGAAACGTCGGCATTCAGAATCAAAGTACCTTGCTCCTGCCGGAATCTATAAAATACAAAAATAATAGTATCGACCATGATGGGGTTTGTTTATTGTTTGTCACACAATAGTTGATATTGGTTCAGGGGGTTACCAAGCTCATCTAAGGGCCGAGAACTTAGAATACTAACAATAGGGGAACTTAAGCAACAACGACGGCAAGGAATACGAAAACGTCCCCTAAAAATTGATTTCGCGCTGCTTCAAACTTTATCACGCTTATTCCATCTCGTTCAAATCCTTTTTGAGGAAAATTTTTCCGGGAGTTGAATTCTAAAAGACTGTATCAAAGTTCAGGGGAAAAAGGGTAGTCGTTCTCTTGTTTTCACGTCCTTTACAAAACATGAAATTAGACATTTTAACGTCGTAGTCGTGCAGTGACGGCAAAGAAATGTGCAAACAAGCGTGATGCACGTACCGAGGACCTTTTTTACCGTTCTCATTGACGTCGCCGTCGTCGTCACCTAAGCTTCCTAACATGGAAATGCACTGATAGCCGTGCAACCGACAAAGGTGCTAGTGATAGTCCTGCACAGCAAAACGACACCATCTTTCGATGGAAACCAGCAGAAGGCGGTCGAAACAGCGCGATCCGAAGAAATCAGTGCATGCAAAATATTATGCTTCAGAACTGAATTTGACTAAGATCTAGCCAGTAAAAATACATAACTGAGAATTTCAATGTCTTCTATGTGATAATTGTCATTAAAAACAATTACCGTTTACCTGATAAAATGCTGAGAACCCGGCTGTGACTTTATCGACCCTGAATGTACCTAAGAAGACAAGTAAAATTTACGTCGTTTCTCGAGTCTAATTTCGTTTCCAGAGTGACTCTCTTTTTTCCATCCTTTGGTCATCTCTCACTGTTCACACGGAACCATGCCATCCGTACGGTAATTTTGTGCGTGGTTCCTCAATTGGGAGCGCCATTTTAAATTTACTAGGTATGAGTAGATGATAAAACGACAGAAAAAGTTATAATTCATGCAAACTGTTTACGTCAGTTCTGTCTGAGCACGGCGAAAATTTTGAACGGTTCCGTCTCAACAAAGCGTCCAGTCAAAATTTAAGCCGGTCGACTTTGGTTTTTGTATTGTTATACTTGACCAGGGTGATGCTACCATCAAAGACACAAATTTCAATTCAATGTAACTATGCAGAATTACGAGAAAAGGACTTCGTTATTAGGCAAGGCAGGTACAGTAAACTGGATAGTAAAGCAGAAGAAAATTTCCCACGCCACCCTGCATTCAGACTCAACTATGATCCTCGAAGTAGTCTAAGTGGCATAAAAATTATTCTCTGAGTTAGGATCCAAAAAGGATTTTAATGTTCAGATTGCCTTACCTTCGTACGTGGAAATTGCGTGAATGCTCTCGTCTGAAAGTTTTCTGCCAGGAATTTGGGAGCTGGAGAACTCAACACAACGTGTTGGACTGTAGCAGTTGACCTCTCTATTCAAAAGATGATCCCTACTAGAGGAACTTATGCTTACAACCAGCGTCCATCCTCCACCTGAAAATTACCATTACCAAGAACATAAATATTTAAGCAATAGAAAACGTTTCCCGTGTTTGTATAGCCTGATATAAACACGAGAGGGGTTGGGAGAATTCGAGACAGTTATGCAAACCCGAGACGAAGTCCAGGGTTTGCATAACCGTCGAGAATTCTCCCAACGCCTCAAGTGTTTATATCAGGCTATGCAAACACAGAAAAACAGTTTTCTATTGCTTTTATAAAATAACTTTCCCGAGGAAAAACGCAAAACTCTTTGTATGGCACTGATTAAAAGAGAAATTCTTACCAGTCGCAAAGTCTTGTCCACGAAGTCTTGCACGCGTAATCGATTCTTGTTTTGCAAAAAGATGCTTTCCAGAATACGGATTTTTCTCGCTTAAAAATGTCAGCTTTAGCGTAGAAAAATTGACACACCTTCTTTGTAACGATTTTCCAAGTTTCAGCCGACGAAGGAATGGGTAAATAAAGAAAACTTTTGTTGAGAAGATTAAAGGCTTTCCACTTAGGGCAAAATCGTTTCGAAATACTGCAACATATCAGAAACTCTGGGGAGGGGTTCCGTCAACCCCCCGTCCCCTTGTACCACGGTGGGGGGTATGAATTTGCGTGTCCATCCGAAGGTTAACTTTTGGATTTATGGAGAAAATCCTATGGTGTTCCATTCAAATGACACTGACTTCTTTGAAAGTACTTAGACATTGTACTAAGTAGTATAGTTACGACCAAATTATCCTTTCTTTGTGAGGGAATCTCATTAGATTGCGATAGAATAAATTAAAACTGATGACGTCATAGCCTATCATACTCGTTACTTTGAGGACGAAAGCATTAACGTGGCTATGATACCATTGGCGTTTATTTATTCCACCGCAAAAAGGGATAATTCGCTCCTTACTATAGTGTCCTCTATTTGTTTTCAGCATTTTTTAATGACGAAACTAAAGTTAGGATTTTGTTAAATTTGACTCTGGGTACGTTTGGCAGTGAAAGGTTAATCCCAGTAAGATTATAACGTCATTTTAAGGATAGCTGTCAGTACAGTTCTTCAATGTATTTATTTTTGGTCTATTCTAGCCTAAAGATAAAATCCTTCAAAAGCTTATAATTCAGTCTGTCATTTGACAGAGTGAGGTCCAGAATTTTTGCACAGAGCATATGGATCAAATCATCAACTCATTCATCCCTGAATCGCCCGTAACATGCCAAATCGAGTGAGCATAAAAAAATAAAGACCAATTTTAGCATTCTCACAAATGAAACGTTGCATGGATTTGATCCCTTCATTCCTTTAGACCATATAATTGAATCCTAAAAAAGCATCCCTACCATAATTGTCCATGTCGCAGTACACTTGCGCCCTCTTGCGTTTAACGTAAATCCAGTAGTAGCCAGATTTAGCATTTGGAACCAGCTGCCGAATTTGCGCACATGATCTCTGAATCATAAAATTTGGAGTCAAATTTAATTAGCACAAGGAGGATGTTGAAACTATGGAATGAACTACCCGAAGATATCTACATTAGTTTCTCCGAAATATGTACTTTGAGGACAAATCAAGCTTGTGAAAAGGCGCGGGTCTTACAGTAAGCTTAACAGAACTTATACCCCGCGAGCAGGGGCTACATTGCGCTGTGTGAGCTGTCGTGCGAAAAGTAGCCTCTGCCGACAACCGTTCAAATCCGTCCAGAAATCTCAGGGACCGCGGAGGGGGAGGGGCTGGTAGGGCTATAGCCCTACCACTTTTTTGCTGGGATTTATTTTCTAGGGCTTCAGTTAACATGGAAAAAGTTATCGTGGAATTATTGGACTTTTCTGTAAAAGGTGGACGGTTAGAACCAGTTGTTTTCGACGAATCCTTGAGAACTATGCAGTTCTTATGGAAGAGGGGGATGTTTGCTTGTCCGAACGATTACAACCCGATGTGCGTGCAAGGATAATAGGATGTAAGACCTAAATGGAACGATTTGACCTTTTCTTTGGTTTGCATCTTGGAGGGCGGCTTCATTCCCACACCGATAATCTATCTAAGGATCTTAAGGGTACCAAGGTGGCTGCTGTCAGTGGACAAGGCCTGACATTGGCATATCTAACAAAGGAGACGCTCAAAAAAATGCCCAGTGATCAAAGCCTCGACCATTTCAGTCTATGCTAATATTTCGCGCAAGAGCGAGGCCTGCTTGGTAAACCAACGCTTCCACTGAAAGCGATGCACTTCGGCTAGACTGGAGGCTGGTGCTGGTGCACCAAGCTACCCCCAAACTGCCAAAGATCACTTTAGAAGGGTCTATTATGAGGCTGTTGATCTTATCGTCAGGGCTATCTATCAGGAAAGCTTCAGCTCCTACGCCCAGATGGAGACCCTCTTGATTAAAGCTGCTAATGGTGACGAATATGAGGCAGAGTTCAAGCCTTGAAGCATCATGCAGAGAAGATGTTGATACAGGGGCGCTACCTGGGCATGCAACTAAGTATCTTGGAAGTTATGTTATAGGAGAAGATAGCATGTTTTGACGAAATCCTGTTGGCGGTGTCAAAGTTTCCAAAACCAAGACAAAGCCCAAACTATCTGTAAGCTGCCTGCTGTAAATCCTGCAACCAGCGCTGTTGACGAGCGTTCATTCTCATCTGCACGGCGTCTGAAGACGTGGCTTCTATCCAGGATGGGTGACCTAGCAGTGTTGAATGGTCACAAGCGGAGAATACGTAGACAGTGTCTCTATAGCTACACAGGAGTTTATTTCCCGCAATAAGAATCGCAAGAGAAGCTTCGGCACTTCGGGCAACTTCAAAAAGTAGCAACCTCAGGAGTTTATTTAACATATTGGCTATATTGGATAGTATAACACGTGTGGACGTTTATGTTATATTTGTTGAGGTGGTAAATAAGGTGGCGCGCAAATGCAAGATAAATGGCGAAACACCGGCCTGAATGTTTCTTTATATTGTCCAGAGTTTTTAGCCCTACCACCTTAAAATGGTCTCCGCGGTCCCTGAATCTGGACGAATAAATTAAAAAAGCGGGATTTTCCTCTTCTTGACCGGTTTAGAGCATTGCGTGATTCTTGTGTAGCAAATCAGAGTTGTCGCATTTTTTTTATTCCCGCCAAACTCGTGTCATTTGACGACAGACCGGACGATTGGTTGTCTGCAGAGGCTACTTTTCGCCAGCCAGCTCACACAGCGAAAAAGTAGCCTCTGCTCGCAGGGTACAGAACTCACTCATGCTATTCAGAGGGCATATTGTCCAGTTGAATGAGCGGATTTAGGCCACGTCCACACGAATCCAGATATTTTTGAAACCGTATTCTTTTTTACATGGATCGGCCTTCTGTTCACACCAAACCAGTGAATCCGGACACGGAAACCACATTGTTTTGAAACCGCTCTCCAGAGTAGTGTAAGACCCCATCCACGCGAATCCGGGTAACAAATATGCGTTTTCTAAAATATCCGGATTCGTGTGAACAGGAGGGCGTATGAGGCTATCCCTACCAAACGTTAAACAAAATTTGGGAAAAGGACCTTTCTTTTCACTGGCACAAAATTTTTTAACAAACTCCCTTTAAACATTGTGAAGAGTGAAGACATTCAAACGTTCTACCGCCGAGCAAGACATTAATTTTTATCATAACTTTGATATTTTATTACTATTTTAGGCTTAAAATGTGATTTTGCATCGTATTTTTAGGCTTAAATTCTAGTATTGTATTTTTACAAGAGAGAATGCTCATTCTCTCTTGATTTTTATTAGGCTTGTTAAATTAAATGTAATAGTTCATGAAAATTCTTGATGTAAATTAATTTTTTAAGATACAGGGCCCCTATAGAGACCAGCCTTAGAGCTGAATGGGCTACCCTGTGTAAATAAAGTTTTTCTTTACTTTACTTTACTTTACCTATCAATGAGCGAAGTCATAACTGACACTTCTTACCATTACAACGCAAGTCCATTAAAATTATCAAGGCCCAGTAAGTCGCGTTGCAGTAACATTTAGTGACACTCTCCTCGAGTACTTTCTTTCATCTTGTACACTGAGTTATTTACAAGAGAAATGTCTGTAAGACAGCGGGGACTTGAGGGCAATTAGACCCTTGAACTGTGCCCTTTAGATTTTTCTTCAGTGTTGCTATGTTTGCATAAACATAATCAACCTTCCTTAATTTGGCTGCTTTTGTTTGACATATATTCTTATCAACCAGCTTTAAAAAGAAAATGCATTATTTAGCTTCACCAACTGAAAACAAAGGATTCAAGAGACAGTTTTTGAAGTTGTTTGAAACACTCACAGCACGTGTTTTAAACATACCTGAATTATTTTAATTCTCTTTGTAAAATGTCTTTGAACTTAATTATAGGACACTGGCGCCACATAAAAACGTGATTACTCTTATTTTATCCTTTATTTCTTCATTCATAAGGGCATTTGCCTTGTGTCTCGGGATCATTACTAGCAACATTTCAACCATTTTCAATACGCCTACAAGCTAAAACTAGAACATTCCTAGTTTTTTCCAAGCGAATTTGAAATGGAGGATGCGTATCGTCCCTCTGAAGTTGGATCATTCATTTAATATTCAGTCATTATATTGGTCAAATTAATCATATATTTTTATCACTACCCACGGTTAGCAAAACTGAGCTGGTTGGGGTGGGTAGTGGGAAAACATCACGTTCGAACTTCATTTCTTCTGGTTTGTTTTGTTTTTGTTTATTTCTTTCAACATTAAAATAATAGTTTTGTCACACTCTTGCGTGGTATCGAAATAAAATTTCAAGGAAGACAGGGAATCAGATTTGAACTAGAAGGGTAACAATATTACTAATAAAATTTTTTTTGCTCTTGATGTGTATGTTAGCTTTTTTTTCTTTCGCTTTCAACACACTGGTTAGATTTAAGGAATACTTCAAGGTAGGTTAGCTTACCAGATGAAATTTTGGCCATGGAGTATCCAAGTACACATATCCTTTGGCAGTCATAAGATTTTGAGGAGCAATATGGACATCAGCTTTGTTTAACTCACATAGAAAGTTAACCCAGTCGAAGTTTACGCTTCTACACTGTGTTTGCTTGTTGCAGATATCAATGCATTCTCCAAGGTTTTGAGCATCTTGTACTAAAAACGCAAGTCCCAGTAGCCGAGAATTTGGGACTGACGACGTTTTATTGCATCTCGGTTCTTCGCAACTTGCAACGGAAGGGATGATAAAGACTAACACAGGTATGACAAACATTACTGAACTACCGAACAAAGTTCAAACGTCGCCCAAGGTTCAGGATTGATATAAAGTAACGCACATATTTACTATTAACAGGATTTAACGGGAACTCGTATAAGAGATGTTTTGCGACGCATCATCTCAGTGGGGCGTATAATCCTCACGCTGCAAATCATAGATTAGCACGCAGTTTCAATTACACGGAGTTATAAAACACTTCATTAAATAGTCTGTTGAAACTCTCAACTCTCAATCCCTCTCCTCTTTTAAGAAAAAACTGAAGATTAAATTATTGAGTAAGTATGAAAACAGTTCATAAATCTTTCCATCTTCGACTTTTCGTCTTCTTTTCTTCAATTGATGTCAAACAGCTCTAGCTCATAGTTCGAGGAGGCCTAACCTCTAATAAGCTCCTATAGTTTCTGCTAGGTCTCCTCGCCACTTTTTTTTTCTTCTTTTCCTATATTTTTTGTAATTATTGTGTGGCAAACAAAATAAAATAAATAAATAAATTGCTTTCCTATTTGGTGAGTCTTCGGGTAACTTCAATATTTTATGAATACTGGATAAGGTCCTGTGTCAACAAAAAGTGGTTGTAAGTGAATGATACTTTGCCAGTGTTGTTACTACCGACATGTTAAAGGAAATGAACTGCGGGAATAATGCTAGAAAACTCGCCAAAATTCGTTAACACCGTCTTAGCTGGTAATATGTTTTACACTTACGTAATACGAAAATTAATTTCCCTTAGCTGACTCACAGCACGCAATCAAGCCACCTGTAAATATATAGACGGACTCAAACACAATGCACAGACAGGCGTCCCAAACGCAATTGCAATATACTGAGTAACTTAGTGATGAAAACAAATCATCGCCTTAGCTTATTGCGTGTAGCAAATAAAAAAATGTCAGGACCGCAAAGCTAGCCCAAATCGCTTCAAAACAGCCAGAACGCAAAAGACAGTAAACTTTTCTTATTTCTTTGAAAAGGGATGAGCTGAGTTCATCATATTACATGTTATTCGCTTTTTATGCAATGGTCATAATGTGTAAAGGTATTTTAGCAGAAGGGAAGCAATTTAATGGCCAAACTGGTGAATTGTCGTTGTGGAAGGTTACCAAGAGAGAATTATTCTCTCTTAAAGGTTACCCATTGTACGTAGACGACACAGCGATATTCTTTGTTGCAGGAACTAAACACACTAATGAGTTTCCTAGCGAAGTGAAATTGTACAACAGGAATCTACTAGTACCACACCCAGAATAGTTGAAGGCAATGATCACAAAGCGCAAACCATTTTACAGGTCCCAACCAAGATCTTCGTTTTGGAAACATCATCATAAAGTGGACAACCTCAGAATGGTCGGCTTATACAAGCTCAGTACATCCAAGGTTTTCCTTTAATACATCTTTTGTCAGTTTACAGGCTTGTTCACGATAGCACGTGATATTAAAAAAAAAAGCTTATAAAACGTTCTTCTTTGAGCTGGTACAGGAATGTTTTCAAGCACAAGGCGAGGCGCCTCCCCTTAATAACAGCTTTCAAAGCGCTGAATAATTCACACGAAATTCATATAAGATGTTTCGTTCAAATGCTAAACGAAAATTTAGCAAAACATTTTTATGTTAGGAGTGAAAGATAAGCTCTAATATCGTCGCTCAAGAAAAATGACCACTCGTAAGGCGTACGCTGTGCAGAAATTTGGAGTTTTAAAGCATCAGTTGGAAGAATTGCTGAGTGTGCGTGGTTGTGTAAGTTTTCCGCACGCTTAGTACTTTGCTGACTTTTTAGTTCTTCCTTTATTTCGATCATTAGCACGGGAAAGGAACAAACAATTATAGTCAGCGTATATTTATTTATTTTCAGTAGTTCTGAAAATCTCTGATGTTTGTCACTGAAAACAATAATACGTCTGTGTTAAGAGTAAATTTCCTGCAAAATTCTTGTTGATACTGCGCCACACTTGAAAACATAAGATTCTCAAGTTCTTTAGCTAACGGACCAACAAAATTCACGGTTCATCTACGCAACCAAATCGTTTGAACTAAGCTGACCTCTCAGGAAACAGCCCTCAAATCCATGAATGTTATTGGTCCGCTTGCCTAAAAACTTGAGAATCTTCTGTTTTCAGATTGCACAATCTTCTTCCAAGTGCCAAGGTTCGAGTAGTCGCCCTTTTGTAGATCTACTTATAGTTAATTAGTATTTTAATAGTAGCAATGTATAGGTTACTAGTGTACTTTTACCTTTTTATTTAAATTTGCACACACGTACACGTTTAAACGAGAACTTTGGTGCTCCTAGGTTTTACGTGTCTAAATAAAGGATTTGATTTGATTTGATTTGATTTAATTTAGCTAGCCGATGGATGAACTTGCGCTTTTGAGTTCCTCAATTCGCTGGTGTAAGTGGCGAGATGTGTAAACCATAACCTGCATCGCACAGGTCACGTTCAAATTTGTAAACAAAGCATTGCTGGTTGACAAAAGGTGGCTTAGCTTCTCGAATTTTAAGAGCGCACTCAATATTTTGGCTGACAAATACTCGAGACACGGTCGTGTGAGTTTTGCGACTCAAATCCTGAAGTTGACGTCGAACAATGTCAGCTGAGAACTGGTCTTTAAATGGTAAAATAACACGAACAGAGTCAGATGAATCAGAAACAGCCGCTGGCGATGAAACAGGTTGTTCAGAAACTTTTGTGGCAATTATAGCGTGAGATAGTAAAGTTAATTAGTTTTCCAGGATACTTTAGCCGCGAAAAAAGTAATTTAAGACGATCGCATTCTTCGCAGAAATAAGACTGCAGTCGAACGAAAGTCGGAAAGCACGACCAAGCATAGGTCTTAGCAACGCTCTTTTATATCGAACGTCTACGTGACTCTTGTAATGCAACAAGAGGCCAGTGTTCGTGAGCTTGACATAGACTTTGGTCTCCTCATGTGAAGATCTGTTGAAGAGCTGGGTGCCCGGGAAGGGAACCATACAATTGATTTCAATCTCCATGGTGAACATAACGGAGGAGTGACTCTGGCTGAGAGTTTCAAGAGGATTCTCCGTAGATTTTTTGTCTGGCATAACGGTCAGTGTGTCATCAACAAATCACCTGTAGTATGTAGGCATCTTACCTTCCTGTTCCAATCTTTCTTCAATGCTACACACAGACGCATTAGCGAGTAAACGACCAAGTAGGGATCCCGTAGCGACACCGTCTGTTTCTTCATACAGCTGACCTTTCCACTGAGATGAAGTTGGTACGTTTCATTGAACCAATTGTTCGTGAAGACCTTATCAGTGAGTAGCTGCATGGTTTCCTCCAAAGGCATATTGGTAAAGAGGGAAGAAAAATCCTAGGAAACTAGGATATCACCGTTGTTGATTGACAGCTGCTAGTTTTCATTCACAAAAAAGTCGAAAGTGTCAGTTATAGTGTATTGATTAGTGGAAAGTAATTGCGTTTTACATCAAGCCATTTTGCCAAGGCGTAGCTGTAAGTCTGTGTAGCTGATAATATAGGTCCAACAGCCATGGTTCTTGATAGGTCGCACGGCTAACACTTTCTTATGGGTCTTGGGTAGACCATAGAAAAGGGATAGTCTAGAGCCTGATGGACGGACAGAATCTGCAACTGAAGTGGGCAGAATTCGGTGAAGGATTGACTCTTACTCTTTTTCTTTCCAGAGAAGAGGATGATAGTGCTTGGAGGGGCCTTCCTCTACTTGTTGGTCTTTCAGGATCAACCAATCGAAATTCAGTGGCATCATTTATGGAGGCTTCAGCTAGTAGACGAAGGTATTCTTCCTTATCCATAACGACGACACCGGATCCTTTACAGGGGTTTGTTATAACTATGCCATCATGTTTCTTTAACTGATGAATAGCTTTGAGGAGTGTCCGAAGTGGCTTAGGAACTTTTCGGTAACAAAACCGAGGGTAGACGCTGCTAGGTCACGGAGACCTTCTGGTAAATGTGGGTCGAGTTTCCAATAGACTTTCTCGAAGCTGGCTTTTATTTCAATCGAAGAAGCATGCTTGGGGATTGAAAATTTCAAACCACGACACAGCACAAGCTTTTGAGAAAAGGAGAGCTTACACCTTGTTTATAGAGCATTGCCAATGTTCAAAAAATATTCTCGTCAACTCTGCTAACTACCATACACTTACTTAGGTATAAATAACCACTAACGAAATTGGGGCAAAATAAGTTGCTTACCATTTATACAAACCACCAGGGTAGTTCAGACCTTCCGCATAAACATTAAACTATAAAATTTGACTTGGTGGGAGAACGACCCGCTGCAAAATATATCCAAATCAGCTAAGACTGAAAAAAGAGGAAACTTGCACCACCTCAAATCTGAAACTTTCCCACAATGAATGGCCTGAATCATTTGATTTTCCAACCCAATTTCTGATGCGAACCCAAGCAGATGGTGGTTCTTCACCATTTACATGGGCAAACCAGTTGGTTCATTGAATGGACAAATAGCCCGGGGGTACTCCTACAGACATCTTTTTTGTTAGTCAACTGCTATAATCTGTTAGCTAACTTGGTCAGCACTATTCAAAAATGAACTTTTGTGACATTCGAGCAACGGTTTTGTTACAATCATACGTAGTTTTATTTGGTCTTTGAGGGGCTTGGACCGTGTTTTTTAATGGCAATTGTTTGACGCTAATGTTGTTCATCAACTGCTCAAGAGAACAGTAGTAGTGCTTTATTATTAAAGTGTAATTTTTTTTGTTTATTGTTTTGTTTTGTGCAACAGAGTCCTACTCACATTGGTTGCCTTATGAAACAGAATACTTCTTGAAGAGATTTGCAGTGATTTGTGCGACTTCCTAATAATATCAGCAGAGTTTAAAGGGATTATGTCAAACCGCGCATGCGCAGTATCTAGCATTTGCCTTCAGAAACTATAGAATTATATTGGGTGTAAAAACAACTTTACTAACTACAGTATAAAAAGGTTTCTTCTTGAGAAATTGACTCGCGAAAACTAGATGCGCA